TCCCTGTCCCCTCCCCGCCTCCTTGTCCCCTCCCCCCAACCCCTCCCTGCCCCTGCAGCACAGCAGCTATGTGTCTGCCAGGCCCTGCCTGGTTTGTTTTTCTTCTTCCCTGGTTCCAGCAGCAGCCCTCCCTCCTCTGGTTTGAGGAGTGTGTCTGGTCTTGTCTCCTGGGTGACTCATGCCTGGGAAATGGAGACAGCCTCAGAGCCAGGGCTTGTCTCTGCTGCAAGCTGGGGCCCAGCTTCCCGGGTGACGTTAATACACGCTACTACACATGACGCAGTTTCACCGAGGCTCCAGGCTGAAAGGCGGGCGTGGGTGTTGTCATGTTTCAGGGCTTTGGAGCAGAGGCCTTGATGGGAGCAAAAGGCCACTTTCTTGGTGTGACTTCCTTGGAGTCCCCTTACTCCAGAGATCTCTGTGCTCTCACCTCCTTCCCCTCCCAAGGGCATCACCATTGGGGAGAGAACTGAGAGTAGACAGCAGGCTGCTGGTAAGTGTGGGTGGATCACAGAGCAGCCATGTCCTAAGGTTAGGACCGAGGCTCTGGAACCAGCCAGACTCAGGCTTGGGTCCCAACTCCACAACAGCTTGGGAAGTCTCCTGATGTCTCTGCACATGGCTGTCATCTATAACAGTGACAGAAAGCACCTACACACCACAATCACGTGACAGGCACAGTTCTCTGAGCCTTTTATTGTATTAGCTCACTTGATGTACACGACAACAACAACCTTGGGAGTCACTGTGATCATCATACCCACCTTACAGAAGAGGAAACTGAGGCACAGGGTAGTTAATTAACTTGTTCCAGGAGTCATAGGGTCAGTACCAGGAAGAACGCAGGCAGTGTGACTCCAGGCTCTATGTTTTTGTTTTTGTTTTGTTTTGTTTTGAGGCAGGGCCCAGCTATGTAACCCAAGATGGCCTCAAACTTCCTATGTGGCCCAGGTAGGATTTGAACTTGTGATTATCCTGCCTCAATCTCCCAAATGCTGGGATTACAGACCAGAGCTACCATACCCATCAAGTCTATGCTTTTAATAGCTATGTTTGGGAGTCTTACTGTTAGACTTACCAGGTGCTCATTTAATGCCAGGCACTGTGTTAAATGATATAGAAATGTTCCCATTTACCCCTCCCAATGTCTGTACAAGGCAGGGATTGTTGTCACTTGTGGCACAAGGCCCTGTGTGAAGGACTGAGCCTTTAGGGATGGCTACCACGTCAAGAGCTAAAAAGCACCTTTAAACAGCTGTGATTCACAATAGAATCATAGCTGGATGGGGCTGGAAGAGAGCCTGGAGGTCTCTTTGTGACCGAGGACAAGAGCTGACTGCTTTTCTTATTGCCACAGGATTTGGGGGGCAGATTCAGGGAGAGAGTGGCCTGCACATACTGTGTTGCTGCTGCTGTGTGTGTTGAGCTCATCCAGCCCTCCAGGCAGTTAGGCAGAGGACCTGAGAGGTTAGGTCCGCCAAGTAACATGCCCAGCGTCACACAGCTGGCAACTGGTGGAGCCAGGATACCGGTAGAGTGGATTCCAGGGCTAAATTCTGTCACTGAACTAACATGCTCTGTGCCACCCCAGTTGCACAGGAGTTTTAGAGGCCTGGCAAGGAGCTGCATCAGGTGGGTGCAAAGTGTTTTGGAGACCAAAGGTGCTGTGCAGACATGAGTTATTAGAAAGGAGTGGGGAGGGGCTGGAGGTGCAGCTCAGGTGGTAGAGCAGTTGTCTAGCAGGTGGGAGCCCCTGGGTTCACTCTCCTCACTACCTCTTGCAGAGGAGTGAGGGACCCACGAAAGGCATAGAGAGGTATAGAGTTCAGGGCCCAGTCCAGGACCACAGGGACATAGGGTTGCTTGGGTGTGCCCTGCAGTTGGTCCTGGAGTAGGAATGAGGAATGCCACACATGTGTGCGTGTGTAGGGGAGTTCTTCTAGCCTCTCCTCAGTAGCACAGGGGGGGCTGATTAGCTAATGGGCGCCTTGGCCCAGGTGAAGTGGTCAGGACCACAGGAATCCTGGGGCCCTAAGGCTGGGGTCCTAACTGCAGGGAACTGGCTGAGCAGGGGCAACTGAGGGATAAAGGAGGGGCAGACATCTGGAGTTTAATTCCTGACTTCTACCACTCGAGTTAGAAGGCCAAGGGCAAGCAGCTCAGCAGCTCCCAGCTTCTGTTTCTCATGTGAAGGTCCAAGATGATAACGATGTGTACTTCAGAGGTGTGTGTGGATTTAGCATGACCGTCTGTGTACAGTGGCCTGGCACAGATAAGCACCCGGTGAGAGCTACCTACTGTCATTTTTATCCTGGGACATGTGGCTGCATTGGTGTCATAGGCCAGGCCAGGGTGGGTTAGAACACAGCAGACTGGCTGCTTCCCTCTATTTTCCTGACAGAACCCCGGCAGGGCTGAGCCAGTGTGCAGAGTAACACAGACTGGCTGCCCATTCTCCACCACTCAGGTGTGCTTTTCAGGGAAAGGCAGGGGAGCAGGAGGCAGAGGAGGAAGAGGTCAATGGCCACCTGTCTTTGGAGCTAGGCTGATGGAGAGACGTCTTCAGTAATTTCTTGGTTGTCACCCTGTCTTCCAACACCTTCTTTCTGTAGCTTTGTTGGCATCCTGAACTCTTCTTGACTGGCTTGCCCAGCCCCTGCGCACGGTGGACTTACTCTCAGAGGCAGACCTGTTCCTGCAGAGAAAGTGCAGGAACAGTAGGGGTAGGGACATCTGCTCTCAATCAGGTTAATGGCGCAGCAGAAGGGTGCATCCTGGGGGAGGAGGAAGGGAAACAGATATGTGTCAACACGTACTCCTCCCTGGACCAGGCTTGGTCAGGAGGCCTGAATGTCCACATCACACAGCTCTGCAAGAAAAGGACTGACCTCCCTTGCCCAGAGGAGGGAACCTGCCCCAAGCCACAGCTAGCCTGAAGACATGGGCACCCAACCCCATCTATTCAACACTAGTCACCTTCTTCCCTCACAGTGTGTGGGAGGGTTGTGGGACTAAAATGAGTATCTGTATTGGTGCTTGAATGACACTGTATGTATCCTCTCTATAAAATGTTAGAGGAAAAAGGAATGGTCCCCAGAATGTACGGCCAGTTCTGCTCGAGGGCCACCACACAGTCTAGCATAGTGCTGGCAAGGGCACCCATCTTGCCTTTTGTCTCACGCATTCTGTTTTACTATTTTTCATTTGCTCTGTGGCTTCCTGTCCAGGGACAGGGCCATAGATCAGAAGCACAAGAAGCTCTGGCCTTTGGAAAGCAGCCTTGTCCTGTTTACATATTCTCTCTCCACATTTGCACAACCTGACCACAGAATCATCACCTCCAAGCCCAGGTAAAGAGAGGCAACCAAATAGTCTCTAGTCAGCCATCGGCTATTGAGTAACCCAGGGAGCCCAGAACCCTGTACTAAGCAACCTTGAAAAATACAGAAGAAAACAGCTGCTCAAGGCTCCTGACCTTGGGCTGCTGGAGCAGAGGCGCATTCCTGCCTGGGGGAGGCCTGCAGAGGCAGTTCTCTCTCAGCCCCTCTCTGGTCCAGTTACATCAACACAGAGAGGTGAGGGCGAGAGGAGGAAGAAGTCTCTTAAAGAACAGTGAATGGACGTATTAAGGAATCAGATCCTCGGAGGACACAAAACCGGAACAAGGGGCCTGTCTGGGCTATTAAATTACCTTCTTCAGAGTCGAGAGTCATCAGGGGTGTAAGTGCTAAGCCTCCAGAGGTCAAAACTGCACCTTCTTAAATCCTGAGTGCCAGAATGCAACCAGCCAGCTTCTCCCAGTTCCCACAGCTATTTCTGAGACTGTTATCCTCAGCCCTCGTTTCCAGTGCTGTTTCTGTTTAATTTGTATCACCTGTGAACTGTGGAAGCTCTGCTGTAGAATAGGAGACCTGGAGAAGAGGAGCAGCCCCCATCCTAACCATGCCTGTCCTAACTGGCTTCCCTGCCTCTACACTTGCCTCCTAGTGTCTGTTTTCCACACAGCAGCCTGTCAGTCATCTTTGCAAAAACAAAAACCAGAACTAGTATGGTCACTTCCCTGTTTAAAACTCTTCAAATGCCTCCATTTGAAGAGTTCTCCAGAGCAGAATTTAAACCCCTTCGTGACTTGCTTCCTGCTGACTCCAATCTGAGCATTCTTCCTATGGTCTCCCCTCTGCCCCTGAGCTCAGGGCTCTTGTACCAGCCATTCCTTCTGACTACCCTCTGTTCTTGCCTCTGACCACTCAAATGCAGTAGTCTCTTGGCCCACACCCCCAGCACCCTATTTCATTTGCTCCATAGCAAAGGCAATGATACTTTTCAGCTGGGCTTGTCTATCACTTGCTTATTTGCCTGCTTCTCCCACCATACTAGGCCTGGACCAAAGGGACGGGCTAGTCCTGAATCCCCGGTGCTAAGCCAAGTCTGGCACAAATGCTCGCCTCAAATCCCGACAACCATCTTCGATATGTGAGAACTCTGGAGGCTCTGCAGGCTCAGGACCCGAGACTTGCTCTGCCTGACCAGGGAGCTCACCGTCCTTGAAGGATTCCCGCCCTCTCCACCATGCTGCAGCCTCTTGGCTCATCTTTCTCACGCCCTGAACCCGACTTCCCGGCAGGGCACGCCGGCCTTGCAGGCCCTTCTCAGACTGCGCTCCGGACAGCAGCTGTCTCTCCCTGGCACATTTCAGGGATTCGAGAACACCAAGGTTTGTCTAAGGTGGATCTCCTGGATGCCGGGTCCAACCATGAACCCATCAGGCCAGAGGGATCCTCACTATCTATGATAATAGCCCCCCGAGGACGCGTCCCCCTCCTAGCCAGGGGCCCCCAGGGTCCTGAGGGAGCGAGCAGGAGGCTCCACGCCTCAAGGGCACCGAGGACATCCAGGCCGGAATCTGGGACCAGCCAGCTGCACGCCGCGGAACCTTTCTTCACCGGCCTCGCTTTCCGACCGGTCGGCTTAGGCGGAGGCACCGCACTTCACCGTCCCCCGCCCTCTCCCGGCGCTGCCTGCGGAGGCTCGTCTTCCTCCCACCCCGGTTCCGGCGCTGCTCCCGCGGGAGCGGTCCGCGTCGCTCTGCGCCCACCCACGCGCGGCTCGCCGACGCGTCCTGCGGAGCCCGGCCCTTCCGAGCTCCGGTGGGCGCGCGCCCCGGGCTCCCTCGGAGGCAGTTTGAGGCCTGGGGCCGGGTCGCGTGAGGCGCGCCCCCCGCTCGCCATCCAGGACCCCGCCGGCGACCCGTAGCGCGGGCGCGCGCCTGTCGCAGCCCGCAGGAAGGAGGGGTCCGGCCTGAGGCCCGGGGCGGCGGCCGCCATGGAGATCCCCTCGGCCCAGGGCCGGCGCCTAGGGCCTCGGGGGCGGCCCTGACCGCGCTCCCCGCCCGGGCCGGGTCGCGGACGTGCGCCCTGCGGCTCCGCCCTCCCCGGGCCGCGCGGCTGCCTGGGCGCGGCGGCGGCGGCGCCCTGTTGAATGGGCTGTGAGGGCCCGGCTCTGAAGTGCGGGCGGACGCGGCGTCCGGGGGCGCCAGGCAGCAGCCGAGGTGGCGACCAAACGGGTGCTGGAGTTGGCGGCGGCCATGGAGGGCCTGGCCGGCTATGTGTACAAGGCGGCCAGCGAAGGCAAGGTCCTGACCCTGGCCGCCTTGCTCCTCAACCGGTCCGAGAGCGATATCCGCTACCTGCTGGGCTACGTGAGCCAGCAGGGGGGACAGCGCTCCACGCCCCTCATCATCGCCGCCCGCAACGGGCACGCCAAGGTGGTGCGCTTGCTGCTGGAGCATTACCGGGTGCAGACGCAGCAGACCGGCACGGTCCGCTTCGACGGGTAGGTACCGCCCGCCTGCAGGTGGCGCTCGCGGCCGGCGCCCCCCCCCCCGCCCCGTCCCCTGCGGGGCCGACGCGTGTGCGGGGGCGGCCGACGCTCCGGGGCTTGTCTTTCCCGGTACTGGCGTCCGAGCCGAGATCCGGAATGAACGAGGCCCGCCGTTAGGTTGGAGGACCCCCGCCCCCCGCGGATCGCCGGGGCATTCCCGTCCGAGGGAGCCCCCCGAAGCGCGCAGCTGCCGCTCGGGTGTGGGGGGAACCGTCACGCAGATCCCCGGCTCCAGGGCGTGGGGTCGGCGCGCTGGACAGAAGTGGCCATGGACCGGCGTCTCATTGCGGCCATTGTTCCCTGCGATGATGATTCGGGGAGGCCCGGAACACTGTCATTCAGCCTGAGCAATTCCGATCGTCACAGTTAAAATGTGCCCGTGGGGCTTAATTGTACGTGTTTTTGGGTGAGATAAGGAACACGGACTTGCCACGTTCTGACATTGACATCCTCCTCAGCTGGAGGATGGTGGAGTGTTTTCTGGGCTACTGCATAAGGAGTTTGCTCCCTTGATTATACTTGTATTTGTTGACCTGTGCCAGCGTATAAGCTCTTCGAGCGTTTTCTTCCTTTCAAGTAGATGGGGTCTCAGCATAAAGATAGTTTAGTTCTGGTGATTAAAAATGCCTCGTTAAAACTGTTTGAAAAGCATTTTTCCCCTCGGGACAGCCTCAGTCTCCCAACTGCTAGGATTACAGGCTCGCACTACCACACCAGGCTTTGAAGTATTTCTTTTTTAAGATGACTTACAGCAATGTTAATTCTTTGTAGGTTAAATAATAAAAGCTTTTTCTTTTGTTTTAAATGACAGGAAAATGTTTCAGAGTGTTACATTCTAGTGAAATGATAGCCATGGTTGGTAGCTTGTGGTTGGGACCACCTCTGTAGACATTAAGAAGATGGTGATGACCAAAGATGGCAGCCTGGCTCATTTTGCTTTCCCTTACTGGCTTCTGTCACCTCTAACTTCCTCCATTCTCTCAGCCTTACTTGCTTCCAGAGGAGTGAAACAGAGTCCTGACCCTCTGCATCCTTACAGCTGTGTAGCCACCTGTGTCCTTTAAGCTAGGAGCCTCTCTGCAGCTACAGCTGCCGGGAATGCAAAGGTTAGGAGATGGAGGTCTGTGTGGATAGGGAGAACAAGTGGGAGAGAGAGGTTCTGATGAGTTTAGATGGGCTTTGCTTTTTGCTGTCTTCCTGGATCTTCAGAGAGAGCTATTTTGAGGTGGTAATGAAAAGAACCTGCAATGACTAGAAATGCACTGAACCTTCATGCCTTGCCTGTATTCTGCACCTGCCAGGGAGATGAAGGGGTTCAGCAAGCAAACATTTACTGAACATCTCCTGTGTGCTAGACTATGGTAAAGAGTCATAGAGGCTAATGACACAGTGTTCCCACTGTGGAGGATGATAGTCTAGAAACAGAAATGGATACATAAATGAGTAATTGCAGATGCCTTGTTATTTAGGCTTTTAGATGTCTTTTGGACTAGTGAGGGAAAACAGAGGGAGAAAGAATACTGAGGTTTGCATGGCGGAATCAGGGAAGGCTTCAGTGAAGAGGTATTTAAGTTGAGTTTTAAAGAACAGTAGAGGAGCTTGGGATGTAGCTCAGTGGGAGTGTGCAAGGCTCTGGGTTCAGTCCCCAGCAAGGCAAAAACCAACAAACTGAAAAGCAAAAACATACCGGTGCAAGGAAACATTGTGTAGCTAACCATGTAAGTGTCACAATATATTATGTATTTTTTGTTTTGATAGGTTACATTAATAGCTTGAAAGGATATTCTGTAACTTGAGACAAGTGTTAGAAGAAGTGTTTCCTTACGTTTGATGCATTTTGTGATAGTCAAAGACTGGAGTGTGATGTCACCTACCTCATAGGATTATTGGTGAGCGGTTACGTGGGAAACAGTGAGAAACACTACATTAGTAAGCATTTTTCTGCATTCTGATTTAAGAAATCGTGATCAAGTTCAAGGTCATTAAGACAGTCTGTTCTTTCACTTTTTTATTTATTTTATTTGGTGGGGCTGTGGTTTTAACTCAGGGCTTCATGCTTGCAAAGCGGGACCTCTACCCTTTGAACACACCTCCATAGTGTGTTCTTTTAAAGAATCTCTTACTGTTGGCTTTGACTCAAGGCTCATTTTTTATGTATAGATTTAGGCACTCTAGCACTATTTATTAAAAAGATCATACTTTTGGCCAAGTGCCAGGGGCTCACACCTGTAATCCTAGCTACTTGGGAGTCTGAGATAAGGAGGATCAGTGTTCGAAGCCAGCCTGGGCAAATAGTTCATGAGACCCTATCTCTAAAATAACCAGAGGGAAATGGGCTAGAGGTGTGTGGTTCAAGTGGTAGAGTGCCTGCTTTACAATCAACCAAGCCTTGAGTTCAAACCTCAGTGCCCCCCCTCAGTCCCCAAAACCTCATATTTTCTACCTGAATTTGTTTTCTTCTTTTTTTGCGGTATTGGGGTTTGAACTCAGGGCCTACACCTTGAGCCACTCTACCTGCCCTTTTTTGTGATAAGGTCTTGTGAACTATTTGCTGGGGGTGACTTCAAACCATGATCCTCCTGATCTCTGCCTCCTGAGTAGCTAGGATTACAGACCTGAGCCACCTGCTCCTGGTGAAATTCTACCTGAGTATCATTGGAGCCTCTGTCAAAAAACAGGTTTTTGTTCGTGGATGCATTATTTTATCCTGTGTCAGTCTTAATTACCGTAGTTTGACTTTCAGCTTTATTCTTAAAGATTATCTTGGTTGCATTTCCACATATGTTTTAGTCTTTCTACACACATGTATATGTACACACACATAGGTCACACAGCCTGCTGGGATTTTGAGTGGACTTATTGAGTGGCACAGGTCATTTTGGTGGACAGTCCACATCTAACCATGAACTTGGGCTATTTCTCCATTTATTTAGTTTTTTTTCTATTTATCTCAGGAATGTTTTAATGATTTTCAGTATACAAGTCTTACACATTTTTGTCTGGTTTACTACTAGATGTTGATATTTTCCGATGCTGTTGCAAATGGCAGATTTTGACTGAAAACTTTTTTTGAGTTTGCATATGTGATCATGAACATTAAAATAAGTGAATTTTAACTGAACTGTTTGTAAACATTATAGATGGCAGCCATTAAAACATATCACTGATGTAATATTGTTCTTGGCTTTTTTTTTTGACAGGGCCTTGCTGTGTAGTCCAGGCTGATCTTGAACTTGAAATCCTCCTGCCTCCAACTCCCAGGTGGTGGGATTACAGACTTACTTTATCATGCCCAGTTGTGATTATTATTTAGTTAAAAAAGATGAATTCACAAGTGAATTTTTTGTTCTTAATGTAGTTCTGGGGATTGAGCCAAGGCCTTGTGCATGCTAGGTAGGCGCTCTACCACAGAACTAAACTCCCAGCTCCCAAATGGCATTTTTGTGTTTTTATTATTTTGGGTGGGACTGAGGTTTGAACTCAGGGCTTCTTGATTGCTAAGCAGGCGCTCTACCGCTTGAGCCACACCTCCAGTTCATTTTGCTCTGGTTATTTAGCAGACGGGGTCTCTTGAACTGTTTGCCTGGGCTGGCACTGAATCATGATCTTCCCAGTCTTAGCCTCTCAGGCAGCTAGGATTTACAGGCATGAGCTCCAAATGGTATTTTTATAAAATAAAACTTTGAAAAGAAACGAGTAAGTTTCTAGTTTCTTGAGGTGTGTGTTAACATGGAGATACAGATCTTTATCGTGCAGTTTGATTAGTATCTCACTTTAAATACCCATCCATGTGGATTCCATGCAGATCAAAATGTAGGACATTTTTAATACCTCCAGGCCTCTTCCTAGCGTCCCTTCCCTCTTTCTGTCCCCAGTGGTGACCATTGTTACTGAGAAGGCTTTTGCTTCTAAACATTTTGTGTCATTATTTGAAACTGAAGAACTAATTGCTTCAATCAGTACAGAGTGGGTATTTTTAGCAAAAGTAGTACAGGGTGTTTTTGGGATGTTAACTGGGGTTAAAGTATAATAATTATATGTCTCAGTTAGTTTTGTGTTGCTATAATAAAATTCCCAAGACTGGGTAGTTTATAAACTATGGAAATTTATTTCTCACAGTTTTAGAGATTGGAAAGTTCAGGGTGCTGGCAGGTTCGTTTGTGTGGTGAGGACTAAATCCAGAGAGGAGGAATGTTGGCTGCTTACGTGGTAGAAGGCAGCACAGCAAGCCAGCCATCCACTGCAGCAGGACTCTTGCAAGGGCCTGAGGTTCAGTCGGGAAGGGAAGAACCTTCATTTCCTAATCACCTTTTCTTGTTGCAGTACTGGAGATTGAACCCCAAGGCCTTGCACATGTTGGGCAAGAGCTCTTCCACTTGAACTATGCCCCCAGTCCTCTCAAAGGCCCCTCTCATAATGCTGTCACATTGACAACACCTGAATTGTGTCGGGGACACATTCAAACTGTAACACCAGAAAGATTTGTGTTCTTTTTTCCTTCCAGGGAGGTACAGTCTGACCTGTGTTACAACGTAGTGTTGTATAGTAGGAGGCCCTTTAGCAAGATTTTTGTTGCCTGTCTTAATTGCTCTAGTCATTAATTCTTTGGGCATATCTCCTCAACACTACCAGGTATACTGCTATGTAGCGCAGTAGATCTGCACGTCTCCAGCAAAAGTCCATGTTTTTTTTAGGACTTATGGTCAGTAGTAGTATTAAATGTTGGGAAAATGAAATTGGGGAAAGATTGGACTCCTGCATGAGTCTCATTTTGTATGTTAAGTACCACACCTGGAACATACCAGGTACTCTTGACGCGGGTGGTAACTGCAGCCAGAGTCCACAATGTCTATTTGGCTTTCCCGGAGAACTAGTTGTTTCCCATCGTGGTTTATTTCAGGAACACACAGAGCTACACAATAGACACACACATATGCACACATACTTTAAAAGCTTGAGTTTTAGATACTTGAGACAGGGTCTCCCTATGTAGCCCAAGCTGGTCTTGAACTTGCAGTTCTACTGCCTTAGTCTCCTGAGTGCTGGGATCGCAGATGTGTGCTATTGCACCCAGCTACATCTTAAAAACTTTTAAAGTGGAGTATAATACACTCAGAAAAATGCATTAATTATAATTCCTTACAACTATAAAGTAAACACATTCATTTAATAAGTCTTCATTGTGCTTTCTCCCCAAAGGTAACAGATATTCTTTACTTAAAAAAGAGGAAAAACATACTTTAGAAGTGACAGTAATAACAATTTTACAGAGCTCATAACTAGCTATAAAAACTACATAAAGTGCTTTGCTGACATGACCTGGTTTTATTTCAGCCGAGGTGATGTTCTTCCAGTGTCCTGAGAATGAGGTCTTGGTCGGTGTGGGTGCATACGCCTTTTCACTGTGTTAGGGCCCTGTTGTCTCACTGTTTGCTCTGTTCTCTTCCTGTGCAGGTATGTCATTGATGGTGCAACTGCTCTCTGGTGTGCTGCAGGAGCAGGGCACTTTGAAGTCGTTAAACTTCTAGTCAGCCATGGAGCCAACGTGAACCACACCACAGTAACTAACTCCACCCCACTGCGAGCTGCATGCTTTGATGGCAGACTGGACATTGTGAAGTACTTGGTTGAAAATAATGCCAACATCAGCATTGCCAATAAGTATGACAACACCTGCCTGATGATTGCGGCATACAAGGGGCACACAGATGTGGTGAGGTACCTGTTAGAGCAGCGTGCCGATCCCAATGCTAAAGCCCATTGTGGAGCCACAGCGCTACACTTTGCAGCAGAGGCTGGGCACATAGACATTGTGAAAGAGCTGATAAAATGGCGAGCCGCCATTGTGGTGAATGGCCATGGGATGACACCACTGAAGGTAGCTGCTGAGAGCTGTAAAGCCGATGTGGTCGAGCTGCTGCTGTCTCATGCCGACTGTGATCGAAGAAGTCGGATCGAGGCTTTGGAACTCTTGGGTGCCTCCTTTGCAAACGACCGTGAGAACTATGACATCATGAAGACATACCACTATTTATATTTAGCCATGTTGGAGAGGTTTCAAGATGGTGAGAACATTCTTGAAAAAGAGGTTCTCCCACCGATCCATGCTTACGGGAATAGAACTGAGTGCAGAAACCCTCAGGAGCTGGAGTCCATTCGGCAAGATAGAGACGCTCTCCACATGGAAGGCCTCATAGTTCGGGAACGGATCTTAGGTGCTGACAACATTGATGTCTCCCATCCCATCATTTACAGGGGGGCTGTTTATGCGGATAACATGGAATTCGAACAGTGTATCAAATTGTGGCTTCACGCTTTGCACCTCAGGCAGAAAGGTAACAGGAATACCCACAAAGATCTTCTTCGATTTGCTCAAGTTTTCTCACAGATGATACATTTGAATGAAACTGTGAAGGCCCCAGACATAGAATGTGTTTTGAGATGCAGTGTTTTGGAAATTGAACAGAGTATGAACAGAGTTAAAAATATTCCAGATGCTGATGTCCATAGTGCTATGGACAACTACGAATGTAATCTGTACACCTTCCTGTACTTAGTGTGCATCTCCACCAAGACCCAGTGCAGCGAGGAAGACCAGTGCAGAATTAACAAGCAGATCTACAACCTGATCCACCTTGACCCCAGAACTCGGGAAGGCTTCACCCTGCTGCATCTAGCCGTCAACTCCAATACCCCAGTCGATGATTTCCACACCAATGACGTCTGCAGCTTTCCCAACGCACTTGTCACGAAGCTCCTGCTGGACTGTGGTGCCGAGGTGAATGCTGTAGACAACGAGGGCAACAGTGCCCTTCATATTATCGTCCAGTACAACAGGCCCATCAGCGATTTCCTGACCCTGCACTCCATCATCATTAGCCTTGTTGAAGCTGGCGCTCACACTGACATGACAAATAAACAGAACAAGACTCCACTAGACAAAAGTACCACTGGGGTGTCTGAAATACTGCTTAAAACTCAGATGAAGATGAGCCTCAAGTGCCTGGCTGCCCGAGCAGTTCGGGCTAATGACATCAACTACCAAGACCAGATCCCCAGAACTCTGGAAGAGTTTGTTGGATTTCATTAAGTGACTGGATATGTAAAATCGTTTAATGTGGTGCTAAAAAGTAAAGGACTTTAATCACAGACAATAGAATTATGTGTTCATAAATTCTACTTCTTTTTCCATTACCTTTCTACCCATCCTTCCCTACTTCTGTCCTTGGCCTTCTTGCCTCATTGCTAATCGATTTCAAGCACACTTTAAGCAAAGTCACATTGTGTAGGTGTAATTATGGCACTTGGAGATTACTCACTTAACTATTCGTCTTTCATTTTTTAAAGGAGAGAATATAAGATATTTTGCTTGTAATGAGGGACACGTGATTTAAACTTGATGTTTTAAACAGCCGCCTACAAAAATATTTCTGTTTGAGCTCATGTCCGTGTATTATCCATGCAGCGGTTTTGAGGATGTCGTGAGAAGAACTGAAAAGGGACATTTAAAGTAACGTGAGATCAGGTGTGCACATGCCAACTGCTGAGATGCTTCCACTCCTCCACTGTGATGTGCAGTGATACAGACCTAACCACAGGCTAACCTGAAAAAGTATGCTGATCTAATAACAGCTACAAATTTATAATCCATTTAAATTGTTGTGTTATACTGAGTAGTATACTCAAAAGGTAATCTTAAACCAACTTTTCAGAGACTATTGCTGGACTCTTTGCCTTTGGGCTTGAATTCTTTGAAGTCTCTGCTTTAATGTAATTGATCTCACTTGCAGCAGTCTGCATCTGATAGCTCACAGACTTGTGAACATAATGAAACAAACTGCTAACGTGTAGTTTTTCGGTCTGTGTTGGTCCCCTTCTCCCCTGTGGGCTGGTGGTGTACCTTTTAAAATTTGGAAATTACTTTTCCAGAGAGCATTTACTTATGCTTCTGTAAGGTGAAAAAGAACCAGGATATCTTTTGATTGTTTTACTTAGTCCAGTACAAGAAGTAGGAAAATCAGTAGTGTGCTACAGGAAGTTAAGTGCCCTTGATGATGAGAGTCTCAACGCCACTCAAAAGGTGTTGCAAGAGCTGCACATTCTTCCGTCACAGAATGCCACTCATTCTGACAGACTGTACAGAGACCTTTGTTCTTTTTTGTTTTAACAGCCACATTTTAACTATCAAATGAGTATTCTGTGATTATCTTTTAAGCATTACAGAAATTCAAGTAAAAGGTACACACCTATTTCTGTTGATGCTGAAAATGATAAAATTAGCTGTATCTAATTTTCTCTCTAGTGCCAAATGAATGCCTTAGCTACTCCTAGTGCATGGTACTTTAAGCAAAGACCTGCAGCTTTGTTCTCTTTAATGAAAAGCATTATGACGATGTAGTATCAGATAAAACCTGTAAGAGTTCGGTGAAATTTCATGTGTGACTTTTGCTTTATAAAATACAAGAGAGAAGTTGCAATTGGATCAGTATAAAATAATGACCAAGCCAAAATCAGCACCTATAGGGCCTTAAATAGAGATACTCTACAAAATGATGTGCTTTGGAAGGTGGGAGGGGAGGTGTTAAACACTTCCCTTAAGGAAGGATGCAAGGTGTGCTTTCTATAGTTCCACTTTGTGTGTCTTCTTGCTGGGGTTAGGAGTGTTTTGATGGTAAATTCTGTTATGGGAATAGATTTCTGTTTTCCTAACTTGAGATTTTCCAAGGAAGGCTTGTAGGATGGCTTACAGTTGATATTGGAATGAACCCTAATTTGGAAATTACTGACCTTGATCCTTCTGGTGTGAATCAAGGAAATACTGTACTTGCTCTTGGCACTTCTCAGTGGCCTGAAAGAGAAGGTGCACTTCCTCCAGGTGAGTGAACCCCGCCTTTGCCAAGCTCAGTCAGACCCTTTACAGTCTTAAGGAATAGTTGTATACTTAGTTTTCAGTTGGTTTGGATCTTAATGTCTATGAGTTTTAAACACCAAAATTTAAAGAGTAACAAATAATGTTGCATGTTTTAAAAACACATTTCATCCCCTTTATCCAAAACCAGCACCATTCCAGAGATGGTTTATTTATAAAATGAGGGTAATGATTATATACATATACATACTCACATCAAATTTAATAACTGAGAAGATTATTGGAGAAAGGAAACTGCTGATTGAAAAGCTGACAAAGTTGGAGAAAGAATATGAAGCCTGGAGTAAACTGTGCTAAATGGTAGCGATTTTTTTTAACCACAATACGTAGGACATTGTGTACCATCTTGCTGAGGGTCTAATTTTGTCTTGTAATACCAATCCAGATGTGCATTGTGAAACACCTGTATAAAACCATTCTTGAAATAAGTGATCTACATGTCTGTTTTTTACATTTGTTTTTGGTAGGATTACTTTAACATGTTTAGCCAAAGTCCTTCATGAACTTTTTTTAATGGAAAGAAGGTAAAAGTGATATTTGTGTATCTCAGCTCATTAGGCTTTCTTCGCTTTACAACCACTTTTGTCATTTGATGTTTCTTATGGATAGAATTAAACTTCCTTGATAGAATCACAGATTTTCTCAAACTTCTCTGTCCTGCCTGGGACTGCTCAGATAATCTGGATAAAGTGGACACCCAGAAGGACCCTTTCATTCACAAATCATGAGAAACTTAAAGTGGGTTTTCTGCTTTTAGTGGAGGTAGTAAATTGAGCGCTTGAGTTTCAATAACTATTAAACTCAAGGAACCGGCAGTAAACCCATTCCACAAGGGGATAAAGAAGGGGCACCTGTGCATAAGAGCCAACTTCAACATCCTGATTGCTCCCACAGCCCAACTGTCTCACGGTTCTTTGCTGTGGGAGCTTGAAACATGCACCAACCAAAAAGTAGACCAGCTGCAAGCTTTGGTCTTACTTTCTCTTAGGAGGCCTTTGTTATAGTGATAGTTGTGAGAACTTAAATATGATAGTACTGGTTGAAGTAAAATAGGGCTTGGAGGCATTGGCTGCCTAGATGCAAGCACTCTGACCAGTGCTTCTGAAGACTTAGATTTCCTGGAGCAGCAGGACCACTTTGGATGAGTCATCAGAACTGCTTGTTTTCTTCTCAGGATGGGGTGGCCTGAGGAGTGAGTTGTTGGGCCTTGGGTTACAGTTTGCTGGTTTGGAAGCAGCGAGTCGATGAACTCATGAGAGAAATGTAAAGATCCTGTTTTTGTGGTAGATTTTCAGCTAGCATATGTGTCAGTGCACAGACGATTGTGTTCTGGTTTTTTCACTGACTGTATTGTAACATTAAAAGGAGTGCAAAAAAACAAAAACTGTCTTTTGTTTTAGCCCAGAAGGCTTTAAGCTGTGTTGGTTCTTCTGAACGCACAGCCGTTGTGGACGTCCTCTCTGGAAAGCGCAAGGCCCCTCGTGTTTGCCACATTGCAGTACTTTCAAAATGTTTCTGCAGATCTGCCCAAACCTTCAGACAGAATGGGTTGTACAGTAGCCTCTGCCCCAGATATGGAGCCTGAAACACCTACTACATCGATAATGGTGGTATCCTAATTTTTAAAACTGTAAATGTGGTCTCTAGTCCTAGGTTTGTAGTATGTACCTTTGTGTTAATGTGTAGGGAAGGGACAGTGACTTGACGGTTATGGGGCGTGCATCTCGATGTGTGTGCAGGGGTGAATATTGCTAAATTTCTAACAGCTTTTCATTTAGGGCTGCGTCATGTGATGATGGCCTAATCAGAACAGTGAAGGAGCGAGGACACAAGCTTGCCAAGTGGTGAAGCAAACAGGTTTTGTATCTTTTTTATCAGGTGTTGTAAAATTTGTGCATGGCTTTTTTTGTTGTTGTTGCTTAGTAATTGGTAGAGAAAAAAAGGAAAAATCTCAGCTTTCCTAACCTTTTCAGAGGTGTATAGTCGGGGAGTGAAAATCGGACTGGCATTTACAGTATCAACCCCGTCCTGCAGCCTTCCATGCAAGAGGACCTGTAACGCTGTATTCTAGTAATTCACTGTGACTTATAACAAACCAGTGATGTCATTCTATTGTGCTCTTTTGTCAAGCCACCTACGTGACTTTAATAAACATGGTGAACTTGCTGACTGCACCAGAGGTCTGTTAGTGATTTATAATTGCATGATACTTTGAGTTTGACATGTAGAATCATTTTAATTTCATGACAATTGACAGTCCTAATAGCTCAGCTAATTTGACACTAACAATCTTGCTGTGTAAAAGGAAAAGTGGTGTTTGTGTTCAGTAAATGTTTAAAAAAACTACCTTGAAGTTTGTGTCTTTATTGTTCAATGTAAGATGGTCTTTTGAGCTCATTAAGAAAAAGGTTGTTGAGGTTATACATGTGTGTGGAAAAAATTCATATATTAAAGAATTAATTAAACTAAACAAGTTCCTTTTCTGTCCCTCCTCACATCACAGTTGAACTCATTAGAGCAATAGTTATGGATAGTTTTTTGGAGTCACTTCCATAATTATTCTGTGCATATATGTATTTTTTACTTTATTTTTGTTAGTGTATGTTAATTGTACAAGGTTTCATTGTGATTATGTCCATATTTGTGTGTATATTTTTTTCATTTCCGTATGAATTGATTTTTAAAAACAACTCATAGCATTTAATTCTCCAGATGGACTTAAAGTGTATTTAGCTAGATCTTACTGGAGGACCTTCAGGTTTCAGTTTTTGATACTGTGACTCATGTCACAGTGAACATCCTTATGTGCTCACGTGGCAAATTGATTCCTCATGCTGGGATTGTCTGGCTCTTAATGGCTGTGCCTTTAATGTAGGTGATTGGACCACCTCCTACCCCAGGCCTGTGATAAGCACTGCCTCATCACTACTTTTGTCATGGAGGCAATGCAGAGTAACATTTTGTGGTTTTGATTTAGGTTCATTATTATGAATGAGGTTGAACACTTCATGTATTTACTAACAAACAGTTTGTATTTTCTTTATATTTGAATCGTCTAAAGAAAAACTGGAATTTTAAAGAAATTTTCTGTCATTTACCAGTGTGTTTAAACTGGCAGTTTTTGTATTAGTACTTGATTGCACTCTACCTCTTGAACCACTCCACCTGCCCTGTTTGGGGATGGGTATTTTCCAGATAGGGTCTCAAGAACTATTTTCCTGGAGCTGACTTCGAACCACAATCCTCTTGATCTCTGCCACCCAAGTAGCTAGGATTATGGGTGTGAGCTACCGGCACCAGGCTAGAACTTTACATTTTTATGGTGTCAAATGTGTCATAACCTCTAATGAACTCTGGGTTTTGTATTCTGCTTGTCAGGCTGTCTTCATTCCAAGACCCTAACATCTTTTTTATCTGTACTCTTTCCACCTGGAGTAAGAGCCTTTTATGGCTTCTCTTCCTCCTCCTTTCTCCTCTTCTTTGGTTATAATTTTTAACCCACCAGGAATTTTCTTTGTGATGTAAGTATCCAGCTAGCCAAGGATGTCTTAACTATTTCTCATTGATTTGAATTATAAATTAAATTCCCATAATGTAGTTGGGTTTTTTGGGCTCCCTGTTCTGTTCTGTGGATCTAGAAGTGTGGAGGCTGAGGCGCGTTGTCTGGGTTCAAGTGCTGGCTCTGCTGGCCTCTAGTCTGCAACCTGGGGCAGGACACCAGTCTAGCCTGTGACTCAAGGCAGGTCACTGGTTAGTGTGGTACTTTTCTTTCTGAGCCTCAGACTCTGTAAATTGGGATGGTGATCTTACTTGGAACAAGGAGCAGGTGAGGCAATGACGGTGCTGACCACAGGACCTGACGTACACTAAATGGCCTGGCAGGTTGTGAGTGCTTGTGCTTGGGCCAGTGTTTCTTCCTTTGTCCTTTTATTGGTGTTGGGGGGTTCAAACAATATTTTTCATTTAGTAAACGTATGTTTCTTTTTCCAGGTGAACTTTGGGGTCATTTTACCATGTGTTGAAGGATTATTTTGGGACTAAGTTGTGACTCAAGTGTTAAAGAGTGCTCCTAGCCCTCAGATCAATCTCTGTTATTTTGTTTATGAATAGATTAATTTGGGAGACTTGATACCTCTAAAACCTGAGCCTTTTGTTTTTCTACTGAGACAGGTGTCACTGTGCAGCCCAGGCTGGTCTCCCATCTTTTCCTGTGATCCTCCTAGCTCAGCCTCCTGATTGCTGGGATCACAGGTGGGCAAGCATCACTGGGCCCAATTCTGAGCCATTTTATCCAAAGAAAGATATGTTCATTTAGTCAAGTCTTATGTGCTCTGTTCGGAGATTTTTAAGGTTTGCTTTTTAAAAAATGAAGGTCTTACAGATATCCTCCATTATTTTCATTAGATTGTTTATATTGTTAAATATACTTCTTTTATGCTTATTATTATGCTAATTTGCAGTGTTGGGGTCAGACCCAGGCCCTACCACTTGTTAGGCAAGTGCTCGGCCACTGATGTACATACCCAGTCCTTTTTGTTTTTGAGACAAGGCCTCACTGTGTAGCCTGGCCTGGCCTGGAACTTGAGATCCTCCTGTGTCAGCCTTCTGAGTGCTGGGATTACAGGTGCCTACCACCACACCAGGCTTATTATGTTGATACTGGCTTGGGCTACCTCCTGAGTTGCTGAATGTTATTTTGTTTTTTAAAATGGAGTATCAGAGAAATAAAAATACAGGACATGAAAGACTGATAAGAAAGGATGAGTCCATCAAGCAGTGGTGTCCTTCCTTTTGTCATATGTAATTTTCTGCTCATATTGTACTTTGAGCCTGGTTAGTTTGCTAGGAAGCTTAACTTTGTGTGTGTGTATGTTAATGGGGTTTAGAACTCAGGGCCTCATGCTTGCTAGCCAGGTGCTCTACCGCTTGAGCCACACTCCAGCCCTTTTTTGCTCTAGTTATTTTTCAGGTAGGGTCTTGTGTTTTTGCCCAGGGCCAGCCTCTGACAGCCTGCTGTGTGGTTGGATGACAGGTGTGGCATCACGACTTCTAGCTTGTTTGTTTAGATAGGGTCTTGCTAATTTTTTGCCTGGGCTGGCCTCTGTAATCCTCCAGATGTCTGCCTCCCGAGTAGCTGGGATTACAGGTATGAGCCACTAACCCTAGCCCTTTGCTCCTATCTTACTGAAAGGTTTCGGAGCCCAGGTATTAAGTTTCTGACTCTGTCCTCACACTAAAGCAGTGAAGCTCCTCTACTCCTGTGCAGTCTCTGTCGGAACTGCTGTCCTACTTTAGGGTGTGTCAGAGCTAGGAGAACAGACTGGCTCAAAAGCACTCTGCAGATCTCATTGTGGTCAGGTGGGCCTGACTGCCCTTTGAGAAGAGCCTAGATGATAGTAATGCTAACCTAAACACACACACATACACACACACTTTTTGTGGTACTGGGAATTGAACCCAGGACTCCATACATGGTAGGCAAGTACACTGAGCTATATTCCCAGCTACCCCTCTTCCCCCTTTCTTTTAAGTTGTAAGAAGCAGTGTGAAATAAAGAGCTGGCCCATGGCAGCTGAAGGTAAAAGCAAAGGCCTATGTGTTGCAGAATGAAGTGTCTGTCATGAGTCAGTCTCCTGACAAGGGGTGGAGACCCCTGTGGCCTAGCTGGCTCTGTTCTGGGGAAGGAGCTGTAGTGAGTCATGATGCCAGGAAATGAGACTATCAGGGAAACTGTTTCTGTTTCAGGCTGTTTGGCCTCCTGGAGTTTGAAGCCAGGGGCACTGACTCCACTTACACCATTTGCACTGGAAGGGTTTGAGGCAGGCTAAATTAGGGACTCATCAAATAAAAATTGTAGCTTAGACTAACCATGCTTTGGCTCCAGAAACACCCTCACCTGGCCGGGAACCACCCAGACCCCTCCCCACTCATTGACTATTGGCTGGGAGTCACCTTGCTCTCCCCTTCCCATGGGTCATCAGGTTTTAAAAGTAACTGAAGAGCAGAAGCACGCTCTCTCTGCCAGCAGACTCCACCTATGCCTCACCATGCTCCCTTTGTATTCTTCCACACTAGAACGGAATGCAAGAAGCAAGGTCTTCAGGAAACAGGTTCCCATTGGGGGCCTATGCAAATTGTAGTGCCACCAAGTGAGGCCCAAGCACCATCAGCTGAGTCAGCTGTGTAAGAGACTGACATTGATGATTATGGGATGGATAAAAGGGTGTTGTGACTCTAGTTGTGTTAAGTTCAGTGTGTTTAGAATTGCCTCATAGAAATTGGATCTGAGAGATCCAGGTCCAGGTTGGAATTAGGAGTCTGGTTCTTACTGAGCTGGTCCTGGGACAGCCTGGAGCTCAGCTCTGGAAAGACTGCTCAATGAGGTAGGCTTTACCCTGTGATCTGCATGCTACACCTCCAATGCCGGACTGAAGAAGCTCTTGACTGGTTCCTCCTCTCCAGTCTCAGCTGGCCAGGGCCAAGGGACTCCCCTCTCTTGAGGCTACCCAGGGCCTTGTGCCCAGCTAAGTAATTACTCTAGCTTAGCAGATAAAACATAGCTGATAACATACACTTGTGAGCTGCAGTGTGAATATTAATATAGATTTGATGTTGCACTTTGTTTGCTGCCTCTAAATGCCAACAGTTGTCCTCAGAGACTCAGAATAGTCGATGTACCCAGCTCTTCCCAAAGCCCTGTTGAAGTCTGACAGATCTCACCTTGAAGGCTTGCTATAACAGGTCTTCCAGACTCCAGGCTACAGTCAAGTTAACTTGAACAACCTGAAGGAGCTGGCACAGCTCCCCGTATTGGTTGTAGAAAGTCACTGTGCCGCCAGTTGACCCCCCTAATTTCTTCACCTTCTAGTCTATGTATTTTTTTTAAATGTGCTGGGGTTTGGACTCAGGGCCTCACGCTTGCTGGGCAGGCACTCTACAGCTTGAGCCACTCCACCAGCCCTGGTCTATGTGCTCATTTGCCTGTTGAGCTCAGCTCTCAATGCAAGTCACCTGGAGAAGTCTGACACACAAGTGATGCCACCTCTCCCAACATATTAAGTCTGACTCCCTAGTGGCTGGGGCCCTAGCATTGGTGTCTTTTAAAGTCCCCAGGTGAGTCTTTGCTCCCTCTGAAATGAATCTTCTATGTTGCCCCTGCCCAGCACGCTTACAGCCAGAGTAAATGGAGTCGGAAAGGGAAAACTGATCAGAGAAGGTGAAACAACGCAAGAGCTAAAAGCCATGAAGCCACACACCTCCAATTCCTCCAACTTTGACCAGTCAGTTGGTCATGGGGTGTGGGGGGAAGGGACTGGGGTCCTGGGGTAGGGAAGACTGGCTGCCTGATTGGCGTCCAGAGGCTCCCGTGTGGCTGCACACGGTAGTTTTGAAGCATGTGAAGGGCTTAAAAACTGTGACCCAGGTTTTCTGTATCACATTCTCTGTGATCCAGTAGTGGCTGAGAGAGGATGTCCTCTAAGCCAGATGGCAGACAATGTTCTTTAAAATGTGGTTCACTCATTCTCTTTTGCCTGGTTGCCCCATTCCTAAGGGTGATAACTGGTGTAGAGAATGATGCGTCGTTTCCTTGTGAATCTGTGAGAAGGAAAACAGGCCTCCATATTGGGGCTTTAGTTTCACCATTTTCTCCTCTGGCTCCCTCTGCATTCAGCCCTTGTGAGGCTGGGTGAGAGGGACAGTATGGCTGGGGATGGCAACCCTGGGCTTAGTCTTGATTTTGTGGAGTCGAGGGCTGTCGCCACCTTTCTGGGAAATAAGATCAAACACTTTCTAAGCTGCTCGTTGTGATTTCTGGAAGCTAGTGGCTCAGGAATAGAATGAAGAGAAGGCTCTTGGTTCAAAAGCCACCTGTGTGTACCAGCTGGAGCTAAGGGACAGATGTGACAGTGATACGTCTGGCTAGAGGTGGGGTGGGTGATTTGGGGAGGGAAGGAAGCAGTGCTCCACCACTGGAGATGTCACAGCCAGCAAGGAAACAGGGGCACAAATGGTGGACTTGATGGGAAGGAAGCAGGGTACCCTCCCTACCCACCTCCTCTTCAGAGCAGATGTGGCTCCATGAGACAGTGCTGTCGCAGAATGGGATACAGCACCCTGGTGGTTTTAGAACACTTTTTTAATTTCTGAAAATTCTCTACCACAGTGAAGGTCATACTATGCACGGGGCAGGGGGGAGGGACAGGTGCTTTTGACATGCCCCTCTTTCATCTCTACCTCAAAAAGGATTATAGCATAAGTTACTCCGCTGGGCACCCAGCATGCCCTTGTCCTTGGGGTGCCATTGTTGGTCCTATCACGAGTCCCGCAGGCCTGGCAGATGAGATGTCTACTTCGGAGGCTGCACAGGCTCTGAGGGTCCTTGCAGGGGCTTTGATCAGTGCACTGCAGAGAGGGCCCCTGTGCTGCACCTCCTGAGCCCTTCTCCTGTGTGTGGGTGCGTGTGTGTGTGTGCGCGCGTGCGCGCGTAGGGGCCAATGCAGGGAGGGGAGGCTTCCCACCCTTAACCCTGGGCCCTGGCTGCAGCCAGGCCAGTGTGTCCAAGCAGGGGAAGGCTGCTGCAGAAGACAGTGGGAATGCGGAGCCCAAGGGACTGGGTTATCCACAAGCTCCGGAGGTCCCCAGGAACAAAAGCAGCCGGGAGGAAGGCAGCCAGGATGCTGACAGCAGGTGGGGGAGTGTGGGGTTGGTGCCCAGTGTGACATGTGGTGGGGAGCCTGCTGCTCCCTGATGTCAGGACGGGCTCAGCATACCAGGTCCCACTGCCCATCTTGCAGTCTCTGCCTCCCAGAGCTCTTCATCCCTGGCCTGCAGACCTAAGGGCTTGGGTTCACTCACAGGGAGCTTCGGGGCCTATCTATGGGGAAGGGTGGCTATGACTTGGGAGCAAAACAAATGGGTGAGAGAGGTGGGAAGGTGTGTTGAAGAAGTCGGACCTGTTGTCATGGGTCCTTCTGGAATTAGATGTTTGGACAGAGTGTGTGGAGTGGGTTTATATTTACAGGCTTTCTCCCAGGGTTTCTTTGGAGGTGGGCATGACTACAAATTCCTAGCACCTTAAGTGTGTATGGCAGCAAATTCACTCCACAGAGCCTGGGGGAGCCTTGGGGGGCCCTTGGAGGGGTTCCCTTAAGTCCCTAGGGATCTGTATTGGAGGCGTCCCAGCCTCCCAGTAGGCTCCTCTTAACTCCAGCTTGAGGTCCATCCCAGAGGGAGCAGGTGGCATCGCTCAGAAGATGAGGCCAAGTGCAAAGCCTGCTGGTGTCCTCTGTTCCAGCTCAGCAGGGCCATGGGCCTGGGCCTGCACACCGCCCGGACTGGTGTCCGGCCCATCAACTCAAATCCTCCGTTGGGGCCTCACTCCAGTGCTTTGGGAGTGGGGCCCGGCTCCCTCCTGTGCTTGGCACTTTTAAAGAAGCCGAGCTGTGAGGAGACAAAGGGGGGAGGTCTCAGGGGTGGACAGAGTGGACAAGAACTGCATCCCTCCTGCTGTCCCTCCTTTAGCCCTCTCCAGGCCCCATCAGAATTCCCTCTGTGGCCTAGAGCAGAGTTGAATGGAGCCCTGGGTAGGAGGCAAGAAGCCCTGTCGGCTCTCACCATCTTGCTCTGTGACCCTGCCTCAGTTAACATCCCTTTCTCGGCCTCCCTCCCTTCATCCGTAACAGGAGGCCTTGAGACCAGGGTTCTTAATCAGAGGTTCAGAGACAGAAGACTTTGGTGGGTTTGGTAATAGCTTGGCATTGTTGGAATTGGGGGCAGTTGTGTGTGTTTGCTTTATTATTTTTTTTTCCTGGTAAGGTGAACCATAATTGTCATTTGGTTCAAAGGGTTTGACCACCCCAGCATGAGGGGCTTCTGCTGGCCCTGACCAATCTACCTGCTGCAGGGGACTGGGAGCAGTGGCAGCAGGCAGGCTGTGGGAAGAGGCTGGGCAGGTGCCAGCTCCCACACACAGAGGTGTCTGGCAGTGACTGCAGGGCCCAGAGCCCTGAGTCCCAGGCCTGGGCCCTGCAGCCCCTGTCTCTGCTGAGGGGTAGGGTAGGAGGGGTCTCACCTTCCACAGTGCCAGCACCAGCAGGGTCAGCAGCAGGAGGCCCCCCAGCGTGCTACCCACAATGATCCAAATGGGGATCTGCCAGTCTTCCTGCTTGGAGATCTCAAACGTGACCTGCAAGGGAGGTGGAGCCGGGCCAACAGTGTCACTGTCATGGGACTGGGGTGGCTGCTTGGGGCATGCAGGAGCCAGCCACACCTGTGGGAAAGCTGCATCCCATCCTGGGGAGAGGTTAGAGAGAGGGACAGGCAGCATGGCTGGCCAGCGTCTTGGGGCAGTCAGCCCACCCAATGGAGCCTGAGTTAGGTGACCTGGTAGCGTTGCCCCTATGCAATTTTCTGTCTCCCTGGATTCTCCTCCCACACACAGCCAATCTTTCTCAGGTTTCTTTGCTGCTTCTTCATCTCTCCCAAACACCCAAGGCTGGTGTGTTTCCTGGTGCAAGCCCATGCCTCTTCCTTTCCTACAGTCAGTCTGTGGGAACTCCCCGCACCCAGGAGCTCAGAGTGATACATCAGGCATGTGTAGAGCCTGGCCCACAACACTTTAGGGATCCAGGACTTACAACTTGTAACTGCTTTTGAGTTCAGACAGAAACATGAAGATACTCCAGCCTGGATTATATCCATCCCTCTTTATAGCTATACAACTGTAAAATAAAAGACAGGTCCCCAAAGGCAGAAGTGGCAAGGCCACGGCAGTCACAGTGGCCTGGTGAGCCCAGTCCTGGGGCTGTGATCCAGTTCCATGGCCACACTCTCACTCCAGCCTTCCACCTGGCTCTGTTGGACTCCTGCTCTGTCTACCTGGCCTGCTGGAAACATGAGTGGACCCCAACCCACCTCTCGCTGTCCTCCTCTCCCCCAGGCCTGTTCCCTCCACATCTTCCTCGTCAGAGCAAGTGGCAGCACTGTCTCTCCTCACCTCGCTCAGTTCAGAAACCCCTGGAGACCCCTTAGCAAGGCCTGGCCACTGAGCCTTGAAAGTGCCCAGCATGCAGCTGGTCCTCTCCCCTCCTGGCTGGGTCCTGGAGACTCCTGGCTTCTGCCTCACCCTGCACTGTCCTCAGCATGCAGCTGAAGGGATACATCACTGGAGAGAGGGCAGCCTCCACTCGGAGCCTGGCCTCGCAGCTCACTGGCCTCATCTACTGTGGTAGTTCACTGACCATCCTCAGAACCTGCAATGGTGCCCGAATACACTCTGACCAGGCTGATGGCTGCCTGAACGAACCCCGGCAACAATGGCTGCACTGTTCTTGGTCACTGACTCTATTCAACTCAAGCCTGGCACTCTCCCCTTCAGCAGGACCTCTCATGGCCTGTTTCCACATCTGAAATGGGGAAGTGGGAGCAAGGGTACATGTGGTGTGTCTACTACAGTCCGGGGCCCGGCACAGGGAGACCCTTACATGTTCTCTTCCCATTCTTGAGGGCTGGGACCTGGCGCTGCCTCCCCAGCCCTGTGGACCTGGGACAAATCCCGGCACTGCAAGAGCCTAAGGTGGGGTTACTGGATTTGCACAGGTGAGGCATCCAGAGAGGAATGGAGGGGCGGTGGGAGGAGAATTCACGCAAAAGATATCACTGATGTGGGGAGCGGGGCAGTGTGGGGTCGCTACCCCTCTCCCCACATCAGTGGGTACCTCTCTCGGATCCCTGGAAAACTCTAACACAAGACTCAGTTCAAAGGGCCGTCTCCTGAAAGCTGTCCCTGGCCATTACCCCTTCCTTGCCAGCTCTGTGCTCCCCAGACTGTACACACTGGGTTGCTTTTGTCCTTTTATCTGCCTAGGCCGTCTCTGTGCTTTGTCCAGCCTGAGTTCAGGAAAGCCACCAACAAATGTGGAATGAAGGAAACAAATAAATAAATATAAAAGCTGGCAGATGCCAGAGCCATGGAGCAGAGGATGGAGATTAAGAAGGCAGTTGACCACAGGACCCAGAGGCAGGGCCAGGCCTGGGCCTCACAGCTGGGATGCTCTGGCACCTGCCTGGTGACCTCAGCTTCTTCTACCTGGATCCTCTCATCAAGGGCTGGCCCTGACCTTGCCCTTCTGCCCCCAGCAGCTCCAGGGGCCAGCGCAGAGCTTGCCCCCCCTGTGAGAGACTTGCCTAGAACCTGGGTCAGCATTTCTGCGACATGGCCAGTGGGAGGCAGCAGAGTCACACGCTCAGAGGTCCCCGTTTCCACAGGACCCAGCTTTTCTTAACCCTCAACTCCCATCACCCAGGGTGGTATCTGTCCCATAGCGCCTCACCCCTTTCCTGGGCCTGGCTTAAATCAGTTGATCAGAAACAATCTGGTTTTACCCAATAAAAGACCCCTTCTACTCTCTGGTCTTCGCAAATGCAGTTCACTGCAGACTTCTGCCCCACACGGGGAGCTGAGGGAGAAATTCTTACTCGGGAGCCTGTCAGCCCATCACCCTGAAAGAGGCACTCAAGTTGCTTTTGCTGAAATGCACTGACTCCTTGCTTGAGCCCACAAATTAATTAAGACAGAAACAGCTGGCATCTTTGTCTCCATTTTGTATCTGTCTTTGCTCTAAGCCATTCTCTTTACAGTCACTTTACAATCACCTTGGATTCCAAAAAGGACAAAACTGATAATATCTTTATGACAATCAACTAACTGAAGCCACCTGGAGCTGCCATCCTCCCAGTGAGGACAATTATCCCAAAAGTCCTCTCAAACAGGAACCAGATTACTCCCTCCAGGTGATAACTTCCAAAACTGGACCAGACCACCTGTCTGACCAAGACTGCTCCTCCGGTCACAGCTACACCTGTGACTGGGACTGTTTAACTATGCACCTTTGTCCTCCCTCCCAGTTCTTTTGTCTATTTAAACCTATAGCTCGTGTCTGTACCCCGAAGACGGCTAAGGATGAGCTGAGTGTTTTCTCTGCCTCTTCCCACGGCACGTCCCGAGCTGTGTAATAAATCTCCTTTCTCTGCCTTCACCAGGCCTCTTTATTTGGCATTTAGGGACCAGTGGCTAAGACCTGGCATATGGAATCTTAGGAATTTGGGCCTTGGGTTCAAAACTCCGGTTTCAACCTGGGCACACAGGCCGGGACTCCTGTCCCAGTTCCCTCTGGTGTAAAATACCCAGTACCCTCTGCCTCGGGCCCCACCACAGAGAGCACAGAGCCTGGCACCCCTGAGGCATGGGCCAGAGTCTGATTCCACCCTCCCTCCCCACACCTGCAGGGCTCCTCGGGGCTCACCTGGCGGCTGGGGTCCTCCTCACGGAAGATGAAAGGGCTGTGGAACTGCCTCTGCAGGGCTGCATTGACCGTGATCTTCAGAGACCTGTACTTGAGCTGTGCAATCAGGGGCCTCATCACAGCTGGTTCTAGAAGCTTCTGGTCTTGCCCCTCCTAGGCAGCCCCAGGTGGGAGACTCCCCACAGCCACCCCCTTCCCTTCCAGCCTGGTCTGGGGGCTCCACTTACGGCCTTCAGGGACCTCAGCCACAGGTTCCCCAGCAGGTGGAAGCTGACTTCCTGGTTGGGGGCCAGCCTCACGTGGCAGTCGATGGAGACCACGTCAGAGTTGCTGTGGTTCTGGAAGACAAGACAGTCTGCTGGCCTTCACGTGGACAATGGCTCAGCTTGACCACCTGGGGGTTTGTCCCTGGGGAGGACATGTGTCTGTCTGCCCTCTCCTGTGAGGCAGGGCTCACACAGGGCAGAACATGTGGTCCCTGGTCTGTTTTCCAAAGCTGGCACATGTAGGGACTCACTAAGTGCCCTCCCCTCCCCTCCCCTCCTCTCCCCTCTCTCTCTTTCTCTGCGTCTGTCTGTCTTGAGACCGGGTCTTGCTATGTCGCCCAGGTGGGTCTTGAACTCACTGCCTCAGGCTCCTGTGTGCTGAGACTGCAGACATGTGTCACCACATTCTGCTCAATAAACTCTCATTGGCACCCTGTTGGTCACCGTGGTCCCTGGAGCAAGATGGCATTGTAACCATGTCCTGTGGTTCTTGCTTTGGGGACACTCACCAGCTGTGACGCACGAGTCAAGTCTTCCTCAGTTGGGGTGGTCCGGTACTCAGTGTTGTTCCCCCAGGTGTTACAGGACATGTTCACCTGAGCAGACACCACCGAGCCTCACGACCAGCTCTGCAGACCTGGTTCCCCTCTGCCCAGAGTGGCCCAGTGCCCTGTGCTCTGGGGACATGGGGACATGTCTAGGAGATATGCATGTCTCCTTCTGGTCCCTTGCCCTAGCCGGCCCAGAGTGCAGTACCTGGTCAGTGAGGAAGTCCCTCAGGGTCAGCAGGCGGTTGCCACCCCGGGTGGCGATGGGGACTGTTATCTTCATCATCACCCCGTGGATGGGGAAAAAGCCCAGGTTCTGCACCTGCGGTGGGAGCAGGGGTCAGTACATCCAGCTGCAGGACAGCAAGGCCCTCAGGGCCCAGCCAGCCTGGGTGACCCCAGCCAGGCCCATGAGGTCCCTGGCCTTTTCACTGTGGAAGCCGTGTGGTGGCCAGGGCAGCAGGACCTGCTGGAGCACTCACAGGATGACTCCAGGGGGCCCCAAGCCTGAGAGCAGGGCCCACGCCTGCCTTTGTCTCCTTCTGCTTTGGGGCTTCTGTGGAGGCCAGGAGTGTGACTTGGCAGCCATGCGTGTTCTGTCAGAGGCAGCCACTAACTAGTGAAGGATGTCAGCAGAGCGAGTGACAGTCACGTTCTGGATAGAGCAGCAATGGCTCCCAGTGGGACTGTGGAGTTAGAGGGACTGGGCTACCACCTCGGACCAGCTGCGGGGCCACAAGCTGGTCACTAAATCTCTCCGGGCAAGCCACGCAGGCTCAGTGTCTGCAGTCCAGAATCTGTCTGTCACTCAGCTGTAGCTGACCCCTGGGGTCCACCATAGCAGACACTGCTAAGTTGTCCTAATTCTCATTCGCCCTCCTTCCTTAGTGACAGGACCACAACAAAAGTCATAATTCTCAGCCTCCTTACAGCAAATCACAATGTCCTGGACAATGAAAGGTGATTAGGAGTGTGGGGAACTGCCAGGGAAGTGCCTTAAGAGGGAGCTTCAGCCACCTTGGACAGTAAGGTGAACTTGAGGCTGACTGTCTCCTGCTGAGGATGGTGGAACAACAGATCCTGATGACTCTTTGACAACTCTGGACTTCTTTGTGCGCAAGCACAAGCCCTGGTGTGTTTAAATCACTGGTTTTTGATTTTTGGTGGTACTAGGATTTGAACTCAGGGCCTTGCACTTGCTAGGCAGGTGCTCTACCACTTGAGCCACACCTCCATCCTTTTATCTTTAGTTATTTTTCAGGTAGGGTCTTGAGTTTTTCCCCTGGGCTGACCTGGATGTGATTCTCTTACTTATGCTTCCTTAGGAGGATAAGGAGCTGGGATAACAGCTGTGTACCACCATATCCAGCTTTTTAAATCATTGAGATGGGGGTCTCTAACTTTTTGCCCAGGTTGGCTTAGAACCTCAATTGTCCCAGTCTTTACCTCTCACCTCCCAAATAGCTGGGATTACAGGCATGAGCCACCGTGCCAGGGTACAAACCACTGTTTTTTTTTTTTTTTTTTTAAGTATATTTGGGAAGCCACAACCCATCCTCCAGCCTCTGGTCCAGCCAGCTGTTTTCCAGATAAATTAGAAGAAGCCCAGACAGAAGTGACTTTCTGGGGGCCACACAGTGAGTGGGACAGGGCTGAGGCTGGATTCCAGGCCCTGAGATGATACCCCCCGATTCTTTCCCTCCAAATGGGGGTTCAGCTCCTGCCCTTCACTCTGTTCCAGTCTTACTTTGAAAATGCAGCTGAATGGAGGTCCGATACCATTATATCTCTCCAGCGAGCTGTTGGCCTTGACCTCATAGTGGCTCAGGCTGCTGCTCCTGTAGGGACAGAGGACGCGGTGCCATGAGTATGGCCAGTGTGGAGAGAAGAGAGATGGCTGGACCACAAAGGCAGGTTTCCTCGGTGTCCACTGGAGCTTGTTGGGAAGGCCTCTGAGCCCCAGCAGGAGGGTGTAGCCACCAGTGCTCCTGTGGACGGTATGAGTGACAGGTGGCACTGGCCATGCCTGCCTGACCTCTCTGCTGGGAGCTGGGCCTCTTTAGAGCTCAGCTGTCCCCCGTGTGCCCTCCCAGCCCATGGGCAGCAGGGAACCTGTTCTTTCAGCCTGTCTCTGTTGTACCCTGTCTTCTCCATGACAGGTGGACAGGGCTGCATCCCCATCAGACAGGGGCCAGGGCACCACTGGGGTAGAAGGTGGTCAGGTGGCCCTTTCTCTGTACACTGCCTAGACTTGCTGATGCAGTAACAATGAAAAGCAGATTGACTTTTGGGAGGTCTTTTAAGTTTTAATTTAAAATTCCCTACATACAATGTACCCATTATTGCTTGTGCTGGGGGTTCCTTCCTTGCCTCCACCTTCCTGGGACCAGGCCTAGGTCTCCTCTTTCCTTTGTTATTTTGGTGGTACTGGGATTTGAACTCAGATCTTTGCACTTGCTAGGCAGGTGCTCTAACACTTTAACCATACCCTTAGCCTTTTTTTGTTTGGTTACTTTGGAGACAGGGTCTTGCTTTTTGCCCAGGCTAGCATGGACCTCAACCCTCCTATTTTGTACTTCCCACTATAGCTGGGACCACAGGCATGTGCCACCATGCTCAGCTTTTGTCTGTTGACCCCCAGGTGTGAACCACTGTGCCCAGCTCCTTCCTCTGGCTTCACATGGCCCCAGTGTGGATGAGGGGCTTCACTCTGACCCACAGGGAAGCCCTTGGCTCCATCTCCAGCCCCACTTGCTCCTCTAGGTACGCAGAGCCCACCTGGTGAAGAGGATGTCGGCCTCGTATTTGAGGTGGAAGCTCAGGAGAGCCGAGTTGTCTTCCTTGGTGCTGTCCTGCTCGTCACTGTCACTACAGGGAAAGTCAGGGTCAGGGGAGCTTGGAGACTGAAGAGGGCACAGGCTGGAGATGAAAGCTGCACAAGGCCAGTGTGGGAAGAGGACAGGCTGGAAGGCAGGAAGGGGTGGCGTTGGTGTTCCTGCCACCTTGGTTGATGTGGCCACCTGGGCTGGCCGGGACCAGGGAGGACTCTGGGTGAGAGTTGGAGGCCCACGCTGGGCTTGGCCACCGCCTGCCTGTGCTACCTCCCCGAGGAGCCTCCAGCTGGGATCCTGAGCTGCCTGTGACGCACAGGGGCTGGAGCCATGACGCCGGCTCACGACGTCAGCGCCTGGTGTTCCTGGAGTATTTACTTCTTGGCTAAGGGTTTTGGCCCACACAGAAGCAATTCTGTGAGGAAGGAAACTGTTTCCCGGTGATTTAGAGGTCAACCTCTAGCCAGCCACCTCAGGGAGGCCTGGGGACAGACAGATCCCCACGGAGTCCTTGGGAAATTCTCCTAGCCTCTCTGAGACTCCCTTTTCTGACCGTGACTTGTAGGGTGGGGTGGGGAATAGGCCCTGCTCTGCTGATCTTAAGGGGGCACTGTGAGGGCTGACATGTGTACCCCAATTTTACAAGCACAGGGGCCTAAATAACAGCTACCTGCTGTGCTGGCAGAAGGTAGGGGATGACAGACATTGCTACTTATCTCCAAGCCTCCAAGAATGAGGAGTGGTGGTCACAGGGCAGGCGGCAGGCTGGTCTGAGGTTGGGACAGGCTTGGCAGTGGGGTTCAGTGTGGGACAGCGGGGGTGAGGGAGCAGCTTGAAGTGGGAGGTGGGGCAGGTGCAGGCACCTGACCTGCCGGAGCTGAGCTGGATCTGCAGGTGGTGGAGGAAGACTGTCTTGCTGAACTCGAAGTCCAGACGGAAAGCCACCTGCGAGGAAGCAGGGCCTAAGCGGGGCCCTGCCTGGCTCTGCCTGGCCCCCACCATGCCCTATGCTCCTGTGCCTTCCCCTGGTGTGCCCCATGGCTGGTAATGGCTGGGGGTGGGAGGAGAGGGTGCTGGAGAAGGGGGCTGGTAGGCTGTGTGTCTTGGGGTTTCTGGACCTGTGGGCAGCCCTCCTTCCCCGCTTCTATCTCCCTCCCCCTCACCTCCTTCTCTCCTTAACCCGGGAGGGAGAGGCCAGGATCAGGCTCACGAGGCGGGCAGAGGCAAGCAGGAACCCCCAGTCCTCTGACTCTGCCCAACCTGCCGATGGCCTCCTTGCCCAGTGGCAGAAGCCACACTCTGACCTGGTCCTCATGCTGGCCTGGCCCCTCACCCAGCGGTGGAGGTCACCTCACCATGGCCTCCTCCAGCCCCATCCTTGTGCTACTGGGCTTGTGTTCTCCTCAGTTCTGACCCCGTCTTCCCAGAGGGCTGGGAAGCATATGTGTGTGTTCCACTCCCTGCTGTGTCCCCCACAACTCTGGGGACACCCCTGAGGTACCGACTGTGGAGGTTCTTGTCCAGAGGCCCTAATTCCACCCCTCCCTCCTCCCCCATTTCTATCCCCATGGTCTCCTCCGACTGGTTCCAGAACCTTCTGTGGCTGCCTGCTGCCCAGAGCTGGCTACTAAAGCCCCCCTTATGGCCTGTCGTTTCTCTCTCCCTCCTAGCTACCTTGTCCCACCCCCCACCTTTCTACGCGTGCTTCTAAGCCTGTGGTGGGTTTGCACTCAGGAGAAAGCGTGCGAGGATAAGGAACAGTGGAGTTGACCAATGTGGCCCCTGAAGTGAAGGATGCTGGGTGCTCTGCTAGGCTGGCTGATGAAGCCGTTCAAATGCCATTTCATGGGAGATAAGCTACACTTCCCCAGTCCTCTGCTCCCGCTCTCTGTGCCCTGCACGCCTGCCCCTCTGCCCTGCCCAACCCCACCTTGGCCTTGGCTCTGAAGAAGGGGTAGCTGACATTGCAGACTTTCTTGTGCAGCCTCCTCTCCTCATTCACGCACTCGATGCTGCTGTCGGAGTCATCCTGGGGATGGGACATTGAGACAGCAGTGAGGCAGGGCCTGAGACCTGGGTCTGGGGCTCCCTCACTGCAGCCAGCACCGCCCCCCCCGCCCCTGCCCCCACCTCTGACCACTGGCCATGCTAGAGGCCGGGAGCACTGGCCTGCAGATCGCTGCGACCACACAAAGCTTCCCTCCTCCCCGAGGCAGTGTGACACGCGGGAGGGTCACCGCAGCCGCCAGTGTGGCAGGAATGACAGGACTCAGGCACAGGCGCTATATTCTCTGTGTCACCACAGCGGCTCTCGTTGGCTATTTGCGGGCAGATGCCAGGGCTCAGAGGAGGCAGTTCCTCACTCAGAGGGATTCATTCTACCCACTTAAGGGCAGGAAAGCCACTCTCCAGCCCCTGGTGACCCTGCCCCTCTCTGGCTCCACTGCCTTCTGTCAGGGCTGGAGAGGACCTCTGGGTGCCATGAAGTGTGGTTTTCTGTTCTTGCCCAACTGTGTAATCCAGAGAAACAGTGAGCAGTGTTGGCAATAATGGCGCCGGTAGGTTTCAGTTCTCACTGCACCCTTAAGCTCCTGTTTTCCAGGGTCACAGTCCTGCCTCAAGTCTAGCTGGAACCCTCCTTCTGCCCCAACCTCCAATCAGCATGAGCCATAAGATCCTAACCAACCAGACCATGCTGAGTCCCACTGAGGGGTATTTAAGCCCCTGCCCCTCTCTCCCTCCCTCTCTCTCTCTCTCTCTCTGCTCTCTCCCTCTCCCACCCGGCAATATTTTGGGGCCTACATTTCCAACAATGCTGACCTCCCAGTGGGAGCCCCTTGCTGCCCAGGCTGGGTGGGTGGCCGAGCAAAGGAAACGGCTCCTGCTGTGTGGACACAGTGCCACAGAACATGTCTCCCGTTGTTCGCTGCCTCACTTATTTTCAAAGGCCTTCTGGCTGCAAAATTAAAGTCCACACTTCTCTCCCCGTGGCTGTGAACAGGCACAGGCCGGCCTCACGAGGCCAGGGGAGCAGGGAAGGTAGGCATGGATTCCAGCCTGTGTACCCAAAACCCGGACAGACAGGAGAGGACTTTGAGGTTGTCACACGGGCTCCTCCTTCCTCTCTGGGCAGGGAACTGGTGGTGTTACACCAGACCAGGGCCTGGCGGAGGGTTGACCAGGGCCAATGCCAAGCCTCGTCCAGGGGCCCATTGAAGTCTGTTTGAGGGTGCGGGGCCCACGGAGCAGGGAGAGCATGGCAAGTGGCTCTGGCTTTGCGTGGCTTCCCTTTCTGGCTATGAGGCTGCTCCTGAGCGCACTCAGCCTCTTCCCAGGCCATAATGGGGGCGCATGGGAGGGGTTGCTGGCCAGTGGTTCTGAGCACAGCTCCGATGGAAGGGCCCAGTGCCTGTCCATGCTATATGTCACATGGACGCAGTCTGCGTCTGAGGGGACCTGGCCTCCAGCACCCAGACTCATCTGAAGGAGCTTCTGCAGAGCTGGGCCATGGATGGTACTGGGAGGGGCCTGGACTTTGTGGTAAAGCTGAGAATGACCGGAGTTTTGAAGTGGGGAGTGCCGTTTCTGGCCCTAATTCTCATTAACAGGCTTCTGAGAGAGCCCAGGTGCGCCACGGGAGCGCGGTGGTGGTAGAGCTCCCACGCCGCCAGGGAGACAAGGCAGGCGTCCATTTCCTTGTACCCAAAAGCTCACACGCCCACACTCTGTCCTCAGTCCTGGCTGCCTGGGAGTCCTGAAGCCTCACCCCCTCTCCTGGATCCCTAAAGCCTCACCCCACTCTCCCAGGAGCCCTGAAGCCTCACCCCAGAGCATCTCCAGAGGAGGAGACAAAAGGGACCACGGGTATTTGAGCTCCATAGGTGGCTCTGTTTCACAGCCAGCCCCCCTGGACTCTTCCTCTCCTTCTCTGTCTTGGGGTTTGGCCAGCTGGCAGGCCGCCCAGATCTCACCTTCTGGATCAAGCTGGCAAATTGCAGATTTGCGGACTGGGAGATGTTGAGGACCGTGCTGTAGGCATTCTCACCCCTGTTCTCCAGTGTGGCCTCCACTGCCACGCGCCTGCGTGTGCTTCCAATGATGAACACAGTGGTGTCGAAGGACAGTGTGTATGCTGAACAATCCTGCACAGACCTCCTCAGCACCCACTGACAGTACTCCCTGGGGAGAGACGGGGGCTGACGGGTGGAGCTGAGCCTTGATCCAGAGAGGTGGGAACAGGACAGGTGGCTGGCCACATGGCTCTGCCCATGGCAATATCCATTGGGAGAAGATGGGAAGTGGATGGCAGGACTGTTCCAAAGGCCCCTGGTTTCCCCCTCACAGACTCTCTGGACTCAGAGCTCTTATTTGAGCTCACTGGACAGTATCATCTCTTTACTAGTTTCTCTTTTGGCTTTGGCTGCCAGGAAGTTCAAAACTGAACGTGGAGACAATCTTGATGACTAGCCTCTTGGATGGCTGTAATATTTACTTCTTCAGCCTTCTGTAAGGTTTGGATGTGCTATTTCAATTTGCTGTCTGTGCAATAGTATGACATTGTCTGTCTTAATCATCTCATAGTTGGATAAAAGTTGAGCATAAATTGTTTAAAAATCAGCGCTGTTTATTCTTTTGCCTTGTGTGCTAGTTACTTTAATCCAGGGGGTTGTGGCACCCTGCTCGGCCTTGGCCAGTCAACCTTAACATCTTTCCATCAGAAGGAGGGGAAAGACCAGGTATTTGGCCTGGTGACCTAGTCTGGGGACTGGAGAATGGGTCGCCTGTCTCCACTCTGCATATTTTATAGTTTGGGCTCCAAAAGGAGGTTCACTTTCCAAACAAATTTTGAGGAGATCAGAGTGGACGGGTAGCATTCATTTCACTCGTGGGCCTGGAGTGGGGAGGGTGCTTGCCTGAGGTCACACAGCAGTTAGAGGCAGAGCATGAGGAAGCTGTGCAGGGAATGATCCAGGGCCCCAAGAGCCCCAGAGACACCAGCAAGGATGGGGTCCTGATGGTGCTGTCCCGGGAGCAGCAACTCACATGGCCGTGGGCAGGTCACTCCGGGCATCCAGCACAAGGTTGGGGACGCAGCGCTCATCCTCATTGCAGCCGTTCCAGAAAGGCACCTGGGCCAGGGAGATCTGGGTGTGGGCGGCCGAATCGGGGGGGTCGCATCTTTGCCATGGGCTGCCCTGAGCCGGAGCACACCAGCCTCTGCCTGTGCCTGCTCTGTTCTTCCCAGTCCCCACCCTGCCCTTCTCTACCTCCTCTGGAACATGGTCCCAAACTCAGCTCAACCTGGGCCCTTGTGGTGCTTACCCCGGCTGGCAACACAGCTCCTTCTGGTCAGCAGGCACTGACCACGCTGGGTGGGTGAGTACAGGATGAGGAAGATGCAGATCATGGGGAAGATATAACTATCGTGAAATGTGCAGAAAGCCAAAATAGAAACATGAAGAACAGAAGAGGTGGAGGGGCAAAATGTTATTTTGGCTGTGGTGGTCAGAGAGGGTTTCAAGGGTGTGACAGTGGGCCAGGGTTCTGGAGCATGAGCAGGTTAGCTGGCTGGACCAGGGAGGCAGAAGGTCCAGGAGGAAGGATGAGTCTGTGCAAAGGTCCTGAGGCAGAAGTGGTGTGGTGAGTGAGAGGAAGGACTGGTGGTTCAGCGTTGCTGTAGAGAGAGACATGGGTGGAGGTGGGGAAGATGGGGCAGCAGCCAGTTCTGACAAGGCCTCGGGGTCATGCCTAGCAATGACAGGGGACACCGAGTGCTTCAGGCAGGGGAGAGTCCTGCCAGGGAGCATGTTGAAGGCTCCATCTGGCTGCAGTTGGAGCCAGAAGCTGGGAGGCCCCAAGGCTGCTGCAACACACAGGGAAGAGACAGGAACGGGGTGGGTGTGCTCCATGGCCTCAGAGGTGGGCTCATTAGGTCCTGAGGCCAGTGGGTTCCTTTCACATGTCTGGCAGACTGGACATCCCATTGCCATTTGGTTCTAACTGCAGAGTGGAGATGAAGAGTTCAGCTTGGGGACACCTCGAGCCTGAGACCAGGATGCAACCCGACCCAGGTTGGGCAAACAGCTGTTGCAAAGGCACCCAGGCCTTAAAGTCGTCAACTGTCCTCAAAGGACAGTCTAGCCCTTGGTTTAGACACCTTGCTGTGGGCTGGTGATGGATTTGCATTTGCAGCTGGAGGCCCAGTGGCCAGCAAAAGAGCAGAGCTGGCAAAAGTGGGGACAGGGCTGGCTCTCAGGGTTCACTGTGTTCCAGTACCGGGGTTCATCCTGGTGTATTCAAGGCTCCAATAAGAACTGTCCCCTACTCCCAGCCCAGCACGCTGCTGAAGATGTTTGAAAACAGTGCAACAACCCTCAGAAGTCCAGCCATGGTGGGAGCCTGTCATCCCAGCTTCACCTGAGGCATGTCTGACAAATAACTAAAACCAAAAGGGCTGGGGACATGGCTCAAGTGGTAGAGCACCTGCCTAGCAGCAAGGTGACGCCCTGAGTTCAAACCCCAGCACCATTAAAAAAAAGTTCTGGCCACCTGATTAAAGGAACAAGATTGCACCCAGAGACATGGAACAGCTCATTCCCCAGGGGTTTTGCGGGGCAGGCCTGGCAGTTTGAGAGCAGCAGCCTGCATTTAACAGATGCTAAGATCTGGGTAAATTGAGGGACAGCGGCGTGTTTCTAACTTGCTGGGCGCTAGAAAGTCATATTAAGGGGTTTCTCAGTTTAGCTGGGCCTCAAAGGCCTCCCCAACACACGCCGGACTCCCTTCCACCTCTGCTCTCTGCCCTTGTTTACACGTCCCTCCATTTATGCTGAGGGGACTGTCACTTTCTGGAATGAAACCCCATCCTCCAGCTCTATCTACCCTTTAAAGGGCACACCAAGACTGCCTCCTCTAGGAAGCCCCCACTCTATCATGACACTCCATAACTCCCTCCCCCGGGCACAGGACCCTCCTGACCTCCTCACATGGAGGTTATTAGGGTCCCTATGACGCCGCAATTCGCCTGCATGGTGGGCTCTGCACACCTGTAGGACAGTAAGTCGTGGGCACTCATTCCTTTGCTCTGGGGGCTTTGTAACTACAATGCAGGAAAAGCCTTTGCCCTGTCCTGGCTTAGGCAGCCATGAGGCAGGTGCACAAGGAAAGGGGGAGGGGAGGATGTGGCAATGAGGACAGCGTGGGAGGGTAGTGGAGGAGCTGCGGGGTGGGGGGTGATGAGAGATGAGGGTGCAGGAGAAGCCTTGCTGGAGAAATCCAGGCAGGACCTGAGTGACTCCAAAACTGCCAGCCAGACTGTTCAGTGACCCAAACCCAAAGTCTATCGGTATGTGGTGTTCAAAGCTGTTTCCTAACCTGCAGGACTCAGGCATCAGATCCTGCCTTCTACACCTGCTCTCCCAGCCTGGCTTGGACAGAACTGATCACTCCCTGGTGTTTTCCTTGAGGGGGACCCGCCTGGAGCCACAGATGCTGGGGGCACAGGGTGTCAGGAATTAGGGAACCTGGACACTCTGACAGCTGGGGGTTAGATGTGGGGCCATGGCCAATGACAGGCTGTGTATTTCTACTGCAGTACTTAGGAGGCTGGGGAGTGCTGGTTAGTCAGTCACTCAAGAAGCAGAAGACCAGGCTCTAAGTGGCTGGAGGGAGGCAGGAGATGGAGATGCAAGGTCCCTTCTGGTCCTGTGACTCTGTCTCTCCAGCACTGCCTCAGTGCTACCCTGTTGCTGGGGTCTGGGGAACCCAGAACAGAGGAAGCCCTGGTCCTTGTCCTCAGGGAACTGTTCTTCCAGTGCCTTGCTAGGTCATGGCATGCAGCGTGGTTCAGGAGATGAGGAGCGGTGGGATGGGCTGTGGCGGGGGGCTGGCCTGCGCACCGGGACGTACCGAAACTCTGAGTGTCGTGGGCCAGCCGTCATCCAGCATGGGGCCGTGCTCGGGGTCTTCCAGTGAGTACTCGACTGAGAACGCTATGGGCTTCACGTAGTCAGCAGTGTCCTGCAGGCACAGAGGAGGGCAGGGCTCACAGGGAGGAAGACATCATTTTCTGGGCCAGGACCCCTAAGACAAACTTTCTACCTCTCTAAGCCGAGAGAGGGTGGTGGCCCTGACATCCTTGAGTGGACAGAGGTTTCTGGCAAGGTCTGCAGATGGACAGGACTGGTAGGTCAGTGTATGCCAGCCCCGCTACTTGGAGGTTTCACCAGGCTCCTGCACACCCGTCAAAGCCCTGCTCTCATCATTCCTGTGCCTTGGGCCCCCAGAAGCCTGTTGCACCCCCTGCCCTTTTCCACTGTCACTGCACTTCTCTGGTGGCAGTCAAACCACACCATTATGTGGGGATTTTTCCTCCCCTGGGGAGCAGGTGTAAAGCCTCCAAGCAGAGTCTCCTGTCCCCCACAGTGATGGGCCCTAACACTGTTGAATCAATGAATGAGAACAAGCTCTGATTTTGAGTGGTCCTGAGCGTCAAATGACGGGTGCTTGGAGCTGCCTCAAAGGTCTGTCCCCTCAAACCTGCAAATCCTGTCCCAAGCCCTCCTCTGCTTTAAGCCAGTGGCCCTTAGACCTGGCTGGCATCAGAAACTGCGGCCACTAGAACTCTGTGTGTTGGGCCACCAGGGTCCCAGGCATCAGGTCAGGATGGCTCCCCGTGATGAGGGCACTGGCTGGGCCACTCTGAGAGGCCATTGCACACACGTCTGGGGCCACATGTCAACGGCTTAAGGACTTCTCACACCTTGCTTCTCTGACCGGCAGCCTTTGAGCACTGGGCCACTAGGCTCTGAGCACCTCCTCCTCTCGTCTCTGCGGCTGGAGCTGTGGTGGGGCACTTGGTGTTTCTGGATGGAGGCAAACTTCTCACTGCCTTCCTCATCTATCGAATGCGGCACCAGGCCACCACCTCTCATGAGACACTGCAGGTCTCACAGGTCTCCCTTGCTGCCATGAAGGTCCTGTTCCCCCTAACCTGCCCGGGCCTCCACCCACCTCTTCTGGCCCTGATCTTCAGTCCACCTGAACCAGGGTCCTGCTGCAACCCCACCCTCTCCCTAGACCTGTCAGAGCCTGACTCCCTCCTGGATCTTACCCTGGGCATCGGGGAGCTTGGGAAGCAGGGACTTGGAAGGGGCACAGTCAGGCCAAAGGTTGTGTGTCCCCAAGGACTTTTCTTTGGGTATGGGGTGGAGTATGAGGTTAGGAACACTGGCCCCTTGCCACCCTCCCAGGGCCTGCTGCAGGCCCTGACACCCTGGGCTCCCACCTCTCCTGCAGCAGCTGTCTCCCCAGTTCTGTGTCCCCCTCCTGCAGGGGTCTGGGCCCTCTTGCTGGCTGCCAGGCTCACCAGGACGTGGAAGTTGATTCGCTGACAGTGCTCCTGGCCAGAGGACAGCAGGATAGCTCTGTTGGTGAACTGGTCCCCGCCCTCATCCAGGTGGGCCCTTGGCATATACCGCCTCTCATCCATGCTGGCATTGTACCTGATGCCTAGAAGAGGGGAGAAAATGAGACCATGGAGCTGGAGACTCAGCCCCACCCAAGACTGCTTGCCTCACTTTAAATACAGTCTCTGGGAAGTCAGCCTCCTCCAGGAAGCCCCCCAGGCTGGCCAGAGAGAGCCCATCCTCATCCCTCACAGGCCCTGTATGGGCTAGGAGCTTCAAGTGATGCAGTGAGAAGGGAAGAGGAAGGGACTGAAGAGAAGAAGGAGGCAGAGGAGCAAAGAAAGAGGGGGCAGGAAGAGGGAGGGGAAAGCAAACTCCACAGAGAGAAGATAGGGCAAAGACCATGCCCCGTTCAGCCTTGGGGGTGCCACACAACTCCTCAGCTCGCCCTCCACCCTCCTTCCTTGCTCTGGTAGGGTCCTCTCCCACTAGGGAGGGCTCCTCAGACCCATGACTTACAACCTCCCCCCTTGACCTAGGAAAATCTCTTGCCAGTTCTAGGAAAGGCTCAGTCCCTCTCCTGTCCATCAAGGCAGCCCTCTGGCCTGCCCTGGCCCTCACATCTTCCTTCTCCTTTACAGATGAACTTGAAAGAGAAGGGCACAGTGTCAGGCCTGCCTTTTTCCTCCTCTTCCCCTGGGTCCATCTCTTCTTTGGTCTTGTGTCTTGGCTGAGATGCTACCTGCGATCCCCATCTCTTGTACCAGCTCGTGGACAAGTAGTCTTCCATTCCAGGGGCTGCCTTGGCCCAGGGCTGTGGTAGCAGGTCTGAGTCCAGCCAAAGGTGGAAGAATGGGCCACAGAAGGAGGCTGCCCTGCCCAGGTCCACACCTCCTGCCAAGTGGTGGCATGGCCTGTTTGTCTGGACCTTGGTTCCCAGCTGTCCCTGCCGGCTCCAGATCTGACACCCTCTAGAGCCAGGCTGACTTCTGGCTTCCAACCCTGGCCACTGCTCTGCTTTCAGCCCTGTGTTCAAACTGCACCTGGACCAGTTCCTTCTTCTCCTGTCCTTTCCTGTGGTGGTCAGCTTTGCTCACTGACACCCTGGTCCTGGCGTCCTTTAGAATGACAGCATCACAGCTGGCCGTCAGTGTGACCAGGCACTTAGAACCTATTTCACAGAAAGCCCAGGCTGTGAAACAGAGCCATGGAAAAGCCCATGGGGAGACAGAGCTGGGGACGCAGGGACCTGCTTTACCGACAGTGGCCATTTGGAAGTAGGGTGCCAGGAAAATGGGCGTGAAGCAGAGGAAGGCGGCCAGGCAGGTGGCGCTCCTGCCACTGCGCTTGCAGTCCTTATGGAAGATGTTGATCTTGGCGGGCTCGAAGTGGAGGCTGGCGTTGATCTGCACCACAGGCCGGGCCCTGGAGGAGAAGGGCCAGTGAGCTGCATGGAGCAGGGTGTTCTGCTGGGACCAGCAGGTAGAGACTCAGATGGGCGTGCAGGCTGCAAACCCCCTGCTGGAGGGGAGGGGGAAGCAGAGAGGTTCCCGACGTCACAGGATTGGGCCAAAAAGCACAGTTGGTGAGGGACCAGTAATCCTGAACTGCACACGCTGAGGACCTCACTGCCCCTGTCACTTTTTATAGTGGTGGTTCCCAGCCTGGATGTAAGGTCAGAGCCAGCATTCCTGTTTTAAAGGAATGCTTGCCAAGTTTGCGTCTGCTTGTATCTCCCAGGCATCTGGCTAAAATGCAGACATCAGCACAGGCTCTGCACATCCAGGAAACTCTTAAGGGACACTGGGGTGATGCCCAGACTTCACTTGGATGGGCAGGAGGTGTTAGTGCTCCTCAGGACAGGCCATCGTGCAAACAACAAAGACAGGTTCTACGGCTTCCTCACCATCACCTGACCCATCCAGGTAGCCATTGCCTGTTGTCATAAGTGGAGCACATTTGGGATGGAACCCACTGCCTCTTCAAAGCATCTGTGTATGTGGAAGGGAACAGGGCAGAGTGACCTGAGCCCTGTGCCATGCTCCTCTTCCTCCTGGCTGGTATCTCTCTGGGCTGTGAGGGAAGGGCTGCATCTGAGCTTTGGCTCCACTGGTTCCTACAACCTCTATACCTTTGAAAATCAGTGGGGGTGAGTGAGGCCTCCCTGTGACCATGCCATGTTGAGTGCACTCTCAAAGCTGGCTGCCCACTGAGGTACCTAACTTAATGGTATTGCTGCTGCCTGGGTCACTCCTGCAGAATCCCACTCTCTCTGTGTGTGCACATGTATATCTTGTGTCCTAGACAGAGATCTGTGTGCCACCCTAAACACCTGCTAGGCCATGTCTACCCCCTACCCAGCCCTTGGACACCTGTTTTACTTCCTGGCTGGATCCACACAGTGAATGTTCACCACACCTTTCAAGCCAGGCTGCTTTTGCTGCCACAGCCACCACCAAAACCCTAAAAGCCCCCCATGTGGCACAGGATGGCAAAGAGAGACTGTGCACCTGTTCTCTGTCAGGGCTGGAACCCCAGAACCCTGGTTTCTGCAGTGCTGCCCTAGAGGGGCAGGGACACCTCTGCTTTGGTCCCAGCAGATAGATACGGGATGCTGATAGGTGTATTCCCCCCAGGTGCTGGGTGCTGAGCCCATTGCTGCAGTAAGGTAGGTGAACTGGGCTCACCTAGTGACCACCGCAGAGTCGGGCCTGCTCTTAGAGCACTTGGGCAGAGCTTACACCTCAGCTGTTTCCTGGGACCCAGTTTCCCAATTGGATTATAATATTCTAGAGGACAGGGGACAGGGGCACACCCTCCCCTCCTTTAGTCTCCCTGTGCAGTCGTGCAATATTTCTGTCTAATGCCTTTTTCAAGCTATGTGAAAAACAGGATTTCACTCACCTTAAACTACATGCAGGAGAAAAAAAGACTGGTAGGAGACGTGCCTGAACGATGGAAGTAGAGGGTGAAGGGGAAGAAGTGCTGGGAGATTATTTTCTTCATTTTACAAATTTTCTTTAAGTTGTTATAAATAATGTAAATGATGAAATATGTCTCACCAACATGTATGTTAAAAAACTCTAATTAACTTCTGCCTTTTGGATCTAAAAGTACTCAACACATGGTAAAACATACGGGCTTTTGAAAAGCGTGGAAGTGGAGCCTGGAAAATGGAGAAGAGGCCGAGAGCTGGAGGGAAGGGGTCCCCGGGTCACATGCAGGTTCTTCCTCTCCAAAGAGAAGGAAAGATGCTCAATGTGACAAATGTCCTCAACTTGTCGCTTCAGGTGGCTGAAGTAGAAGGAATGTCTGAGAATGAGAGCTTTTAGGACAAATTCTACAAGGGGCTTTTGCACACCAAGTTCATCTAAAGTCCTGGAATCTATTGAGGAGAGGAATTTGGACTCCAAGGTGACTTACAGTGAGTCCATAAAAAGAACATTTGTGATCAGGATGTGACAGGAACTGGGTTTCAATTTGAAATCAGGATGGGACAGGATCAGGGCTCATTTGGCCAACAGTGGTTAAAGACAAGAGACAACGATGTTAAAGCCATCCTGCAACCCTCTGTCTGTCCACTGGGACCCTCAAGAGAGCCCAAACGCGAGGAAAAGCAGTGCAACCAACCATACAACGACAGCGCTGCCCAGGGCCCCCACGGCCAGATCCACGAGCCCATCGTCATTCAGGTCCAGCTGTCCGTGTAGGCTGCAGCCGAAGTACTGGAGGCCAGGGGCCAGCTCCGTTGCAGGGATTCTCTGCAGGAGAGGAAAGCACAGGCCAGGCGTGTGCACGGTGAGCATGGGGCAGGCCAGGTCATGGTCAGACAGCAGACAGCCTGGAGTTCTGGGAAGAGCCTGCCTGAAGCCATCAGATGCTTTGCCATCCCACCTCCCATCAGGACCCCTGAAATTCCTACTGTTAAAGCCATTGTTTTGCCTTAAAAGATTCCCTGATAATGGGAGTACATGTTGCCTGGCGGGGAGCCCAGCAGTACCTCAAATGTTTATTGGATCAATTATCTTACTAATACAATACAAGGTCAAAGTGATGATCCTGGCGGGTGGGGTGGGGAGACAGGTCAGATTTGAGGTGAATTTCCAGCAAAGTGAGAGCCCAGTCACCTGGATGCCTGTTGCCTATTGGGGGCGTGAAGTTGGGTGCATGGGTTTTGTTGTGTTGATGGTGTAGTGAGGGACAAAGGGGTATAGGAAGGTTCTGAAGACACAATGAACCCAGGTTCAGATTTCATCTTAAGGCCAGGATAGACAGGGCCCCTTCTTGTGGGAGGCTGCAGGAGGAAACCCCAGACCATGTGAGCACACCTGAGCTGTGGGACTCCAGTCCTCTGCTGCCTTTTCTGGAAGCCTCACCTGCTTGGGCCTCTTCAGAATGCTGCCCTGGAAGCCATGGAAGATATAGATGGCCCCCCTGTGGTCGTCCTCCAGTGGGGCCCCTACCACCACGTCATTGAAGGAGTCTTGATTGAGGTCTCGGACGGAGGCGATGGATGACCCAAACCGTGCATTCTGGTAGCTGTGGGAATCCTTCAGTGTTCCGTTATAAACAAACCGGTTCTGCAAACCCAAGGCCCCCCCGAAATACTCAGGGCTTGGCAACAACTCCCTCTGCCTGCACCCAGTGTCCTTGTCTCACCCCACTTCTCCCAGCCTCCTCCTGGTGACATAAGCCCAGTGACACACTGGGTTCCTGTTCTCCCTAGCCCAGCTTTTCTAGGAACCCAGGTTTTTTTGGGTCACCTTGGTCCAAGTGCCACTCAGGTGTCCTGTAGTACCTGTCTCAGGTTGTAGACATACACCTTGCCCCTCTCACGGCCCTCACTGAAGTACATGGGGGCTCCCACCAGCAGGACGTCTGTCACATTGTCATCATTGGTGTCTACCGAGGTGATCTCACTCCCAAAATAGGAGCCTATCTGTGCACACAGGGAGAAAGAGCAGTGGGCTGTCACCTCACCTGTGTGACCTCTAGCCTCCTCCCTTCCCACCCAGGGAAACGAAGGTCATCCTCTGACTCAACTCGGAATGCTCAGGGTCCCAGGACTTCCCTCCACACTGCCCTTCCTCCCCACTCCCCAAGGACGGCCTGTTTCCAGGGTGTCCTTGTCCCTTTCCTGCCTCTTCTGTTGACCACACCTCCTCCACTCATCATCGTTTATTCATAATCATTTATTCTATTAGGCAGTGATATATAATGGCAAAAAATGAGGGAAAAAAGAATAAGGAAGAAAACAAAAATTGTTCGTGGGCTCAATGTGCAAGTGGAACTGCCATTGATGGTTTTACTGTATTTTCTTCTGGTCTTTTTTAGTGAGTTATATTACCAATTCGTGTGTGTGTGTGTAAATATATTTTTATTCTTATAAATCACTGGGGTTTGAACTTGCTAGGCAGGTGCTCTACCGCCTGAGCCACACCTCTGCCCTCTATACTGATTTAAATAGAGCCTTGCATCCGGAGTCCTTTCTATTTTTTTCTATGACATGACCACAGGTGATTCCAACATAGGCCCCTGATGGATGTAACCCAGCCTCTGTGGTTGTCCAGTTAGTTTGCCTTCAAGTTTCAATGTCACTGATTACTCTGGGGCTCATGCCTCAGATGGTGGCTGGTGTCCCCTTCAGCGTTTGAGCCCTCGCTGGCTCCCTCTCCTGCCTTGGGGATGGTGTGTGCTCCACACGAAGATGAGGGCACCACCCACCACTCATCAGAAATTTGAGGGGCTATCCATGTTGGAAGGCTGGCCACTGCTAAGCCAGGTCTGTTTAACACCTGATCCCCTGCTCTCCCTCCCTCACTGTCTCAAGGCCTTGGGTGTTTCCAGAGAAATCTATTCTCAAGTATTACAACCTTTTAACTGAGGGGAAAGATAAAAATGCAAGTAGGAGGAGAGCAAAGTAATTACAAGGCAGACAGCTGGGGTGGAGTGGAGTTCATTTAAATCTGTGGCCTCAACTATGTGGGTTGCAGTGACTTGGAATCCACTTAATTCAGCTGCCTCCAGCATTGTGGTTTCTCCTTAGGATGTGGAGGGTGTAACTGGGCAGGAGAGATGTCACAAATTCATCAGCAAATTCCCTCCAGCCTTCAAGGGCTAACCCAATTCCCAAAGGAGGCAGCCTCCGGAGGAGCAGGTAGGCGACGGGAAGGTTGCTAGCCAGAAATAAAGGGCCTGGAAGACTGGCAGAATGGTGGTACTGCGCAGCCGGAGGTGGTCCAGGGAGGAGCAAGTCCACCTCAGGTGACAGGCAGCAGGGTGTCATGGATACTGCCAGTCGGGAGGAGATGAGGTCTGGTTTGGGGGTTGCTGGGAGTGAGGAGGTGGCATTACAAGAGAGCCCCTCCTGAGGCCTGGATTCTTTTTTTTTTTTTTTTTCATTTTTCTTTTATTATTCATATGTGCATACAAGGCTTGGTTCATTTCTCCCCCCTGCCCCACCCCCTCCCTTACCACCCACTCCACCCCCTCCCGCTCCCCCCCTCAATACCCAGCAGAAACTATTTTGCCCTTATTTCTAATTTTGTTGTAGAGAGAGTATAAGCAATAATAGGAAGGAACAAGGGTTTTTGCTGGTTGAGATAAGGATAGCTATACAGGGCATTGACTCACATTGATTTCCTGTGCGTGGGTGTTACCTTCTAGGTTAATTCTTTTTGATCTAACCTTTTCTCTAGTTCCTGGTCCCCTTTTCCTATTGGCCCTGAGGCCTGGATTCTTAACTTGACCCAGCCACGAGTCTGCCATATGGTCTTGGAGGACCACAGACTTCCTCAGCTACCGACACCACTTCTGGTCTCTTCACTGCCAATGGCTCTTGTCCTAGCTTTCCAGTTGGTGCTCAGAACTGTCCCATATGGGACGTCTGGCTGTCAGCTACATCCCAGGCAGGGCAGTGGCACTGGGGTGTGCCCCACTTCCAGGAAAGGAAAGAAACTAGCATCGGGTGGTCCCTGGCCTTGCTGTGGTGGATGCACAACTTTGGGCAGCAGGAAGGGACTTGGGGAGCATGGCTGCCCCTTGAGGAGGCCTCAGGGGTCCAGCAGCCTGGCTGGGCAGTCACACCCAGCCGCTGCCTATAGCCTGGCCTCTAGTGCACAGTAGAGAGACATGGCAGACAAGGTCTGACGAAAGCCTCTGAGATGAGATGTCCATGACACAGAGTGAGAACTGCTCCAGGTTCTCCTTGCTGTAGCAGGGCCCAGGCCTGGCGTACTGGGGAGGGGACAGTCCCTGATTCATGGCTATTTCCAGTGCTGACACTTTCAACTGTGGTGCGAGTGGCATGTTCCCCACTCAGGGAGGATGCTGGCGGGTCTAGGGGACCTTCCTGTGAGAAGGAGAAGCAAGTCCCAGAAGCCCTCTTGGCCTGTCTGTGCCACTGCCCTTGCCCTTCACCCACTGGCCACAGCCTCCCATCCATTACCTGCTCGCCTCGCAGAGCCTGGTGGATGGTGAGGCTGCGGTTGTTGTGCATGGTGAACAGGATGACTTTGCCTGTGTGGTTGAACCGGGGGGCTCCGGCCACGTACACCCGTCCCTGCCTGGAGGACACGACTGACGTCACCGTGTACCCTGCCACGGGAGGAAACAGGCTGGTCTCTGCCCTGTGACCTTGGCAGCCCTAGCCAGGTCCTGGAGAGGGACTTGGTCATGCCAGAGGAGGGGTGGTGACTTAATAAAAAGGAGAGTGCACTTGACTTGCATTTCATCCTGGGGACACAGGCCCAGTGTGCTGAGGTCCTGGTCAGGCTGGCAGCTTTAAGGACAGAAATTGACCAAGATTCTACAAACCTCAGCTTGGCACACTTGTGCTAAGGGAACTGCTTGTCATTTACTTATTTATTTATTTAGGGTTGTCATTTACAACCCTAGCAAGGGTTAGAGAGGGGCAGGCCCTGGCCACGCACCAGGTCTGGAACTGTCCTCATGGTTGTGGGCTCAGCCAGCATGGGGCCTCCACAGACATCCCTCACCTGCTGTCCCCACCAGCTGTCCCTGCACCTGCCTCACCCAGGTATGCGCCGTGGTTCTTGAGCTCCTCGGGGAACTCCTTCAGGTAGGACTCTCGGTAGGGAATGAGCTTGCCACCACTCGTCTCCTTCAGCACGGCCCCATTCCAGTCGTAGGCGCCAACAGCTCCTAGCAGAACCCCATCCTGACATGGGAGGGGACACACATCAGGTCCTGTTCCTGGGGACTTCTTGCTGGAAGCCACCCCAGGCCCAGCAACCAGCAACCAGTGAAGTGTCCACCGGCCATCTGGGGTGCCTTCTCCAGGTTTGTGATTTAGCTACATTGATCCTGGTGGGGACTCTGGGCTTGGGAATGAGGCACAGAGACTGTCCCCTAACCCCATCCCATCCTTAGTGCAGAATGGGTCAAGCTGATCCCAAGGGTGGGACTTTAGAAAAGAAGTAATGTTCAAGAAATAAACTCAAAACTAGGATCAAATCTCCATTCCTCCCTGGGCATCAAAACCCCTGTAGGAAATCTCTTGTCCTCACCCCTCCTTCTGACACTCCAAGCTGTCCCTCCTGCACGGGGGCCTACTTCTGTATTTCTTGACAGGGTCTGGGTGACTTTCCTGTGTGACATTCTACACTGCCACACACTGAATTCATATCTTCATGCCACACCGTCCCCACAAACATGCACAATTACTATAGGTCAATAAATAAAAGCAGTCTTTTAAAAACTTTCTACTTCCTCTACTTCCTCTTCATTCCTTCAGCCACAGTTCACTGACCATCTGCTTTAGGCCACACACTTGTCTGTGCTGGGGACTTGTCCCCACCTCTACAGGGTTCATAGACACTAAACACACACTCAGATAAACAGGTAGCTGCAAACTGTGATAATGCAACCAGGGAAAGGGGGTTGGAGCAGCTTTGTGCAAAGGCCCTGGGGCTGCAGAGAGGTCAGGCCCTTTCCTGAAAGCTGAGTGTTGAATGAGGGGAAGAGCAGCTCCAGATTAGGTTGGACAGATAAACCAGGGCCGTATCAGTGACGGCTAACACTCTGAGAAACATGTTTCTCAGGGTTTGCAGAGCCTTGATCTACCCCCCAGGTGCAGGACAGGTGTATGCTACAATGCCTGGGCAGGAAGACAGGAAACCAACTCCGTGCTCACTTCTTGAGGACTGGGTTCCTCTCCCTGGGCCACCAGCACCCTGCCCATCCTCCGCACAAACTATCCATATTACTGGTGGGCACAGGAAGGCAAGCAGGACATGAAAAGAGGAGAAAGGTACCAAAGGCCAAGGGTACAAGGAGGCGCTGGAATGGGGTGAGGGCCACTTTGGTAATTGGGGGTGGGGCTGCTGGACTGTGCTCCAGCTTTGGACATTTGAGCACAAGCAGGAAAGTCACCTTTCTGTCCTACTGAGCTCTCCACGAAGCCGGTCGGTTGACTGGGTTCAAGGCTCCTCTGTGGCTTTAGAGTCAGGTTGACCTTATTGCCCAAGGGTGGAAACTGGACCGACTGTGCAGATGGCGTGTTTGCTACTATAAATAAGCTGGCTGTGCAGTTGAGGTGTGGCTGTGTTTACCGTCGTACTTTCTAATTCCCTTCTCTGTCTCTACTCCAGCTTCAGCCTGGGAGGCTCTGCCAGCACCTGGCCAGGACCGGGGCCAGGGACTCAAATGCTCACCATCCATAGTCACTGTCAACACTCCTCACATGTGGGATGCTCCCGATTCTCTGTGGGGTACTTTCTCATCCAGCCACCCATTTGGGCCCACAAAAGCCCTGCAAGGGGACAGACTGCACTTGACAGTAGGCAGCTGAAGTTCAGAAAGGGGGAAGGGGCTTACCCAAGGTCACACAGCAACTCAGAGGCAGGGCTGGGTCTTTGACAGCGGAGGGGGGTGGGGTAGAGGAGAAAAAAACCTAGGAGTTCACTAAAGTTTCCAGTTTTCCACCTGAGCCCTCTCAGGGAGAGTGCAATATTTTGGGCTCCACCTTCCTTTCTTCAGTCCTCTGCCCACTGAGCCCAAGTCCACAGGGCTCCTCGCTTCATGTAGAGAGCTTTGAAGATGAATGTTTGGCTTTGCAGATGGCAGAAATCTGGACGATGCACTGAGCAGGGCAGTTCTTTCCAGGTACCTGGGGTCCCTCTGGGAGACCCCTCAGCTGGCTTTCCCTGTGTGGAGTTTGGGTATTCCATCAGGACTTCTAGGTCTGGCAGGTCTGGGCCTGGGATCGCCTGTGATTGTAACACAGCAGCAGCTGGGCTTTGGGCCCACTTGTCGCAAGTCCTGAGAGCAGACTGTTGGAGCAAGAGTGCCTCACCAAGGACAGGGACAGTGAGCTGGGCATGTGAGGTCACCAAAGCAAACCTCAGTGAGTCACAATCTTCTCCAGCTGGGGGACCCCAAACATTTTCAGTTGGAACAAATCTGAAGGGTCCACATCAAAAAAAAAAAAAAAAAACAGGCCAGAGCCCAGAGGGGAAGCTGGGTGTGGGGTCCAGTTGGGGCACAACAGTGGGACATTCCAGGGACAAGCAGTGTCCCAAGCTCTGCAGCCTTGTATGGGTCCCCTGATTTATGGCATCCCAGCTACCCTAGATTTATGGGGTAACTAAACTCCCAAGAGATATACCCAGAGGGGACGGAGGTGGCCTAACTGGATGGTCTTTCCAGTAGCACAGTGAGGACAGGAGGCACAGGTCATTGGCTGTCATAAGGTCTGAGGCTTGGCAGCACCTCTTTGAGGACACTGGCTGGAGGTGCTGGCACTCAGCTCAGAGGTCCCTCTGCCCTGGCTTCTGCACCAGGCGTGCCTTCCTAGCCAACCTGGACGTTCCCTGCATGGTGATTACAGCTCCCAAAACTGTGTCCCTGCCAGTCCTACAAGTCAGGCACAGGCAGCATAGTTCTCTCCTGGGGCTGGTCCACCCTCAGTGACACTTGTCAATGCCTGGAGATGTTCTTGGTTGTCGCAGCTTGGGGTGGGTGTTGTGGGGGGGGTGCTATAGGATCCAGGGGGTGAAGGCTGCGATGGTGCTGGGGGGGCGTCTTCTGATGCACAGGACAGCTTCCCATTGTAAGGTCAAAGGCAGGACAGGACCATTGTACTGTCAGCTCATTATCCAGCCCAGAGTGTCACCAGGGCTGACACTGAGGCTGAGGCTCTTCGGCCTAGTGGTTGGAGAATGGGCTCTGGGGTGTTGCAGCTTCAACTCACAACCTCTGGCCATGTGACCACGAGCAAGTGTCTCTCTCTCCCCTCTCTCTGAGAGTGGGTGCATGCTGGGGTTAGACAAGGATTTTAAGAAATTCCAAAGTCTCAAAATGAGCGTTTCAATTCCAAGCTTCAAAATTCATTTCCACAAATACTTCTCAGACGTCTACTCAGAGACGGAAGTTCAGAGAGGTTAATGATTTGTCTGAGCCACACAGCCAGGCTAAGTGGAATTACGATGAAATGCCAGAAATTCCTTCTAGCTTCTCTTGGCAGCATGACCTTGGCGCCAGGTGGAGGGAGCCACTGACTGTCCTATGCAGTTGCCCTGAGAAACCTCCAGAGGGCACTGTGTCCCCCTCCCCCAGCCGCTCCCATAGATAAAGGGACAGTCTTAATTGCTGCCCAAGCCGTCAGGTGGAAAAGTCCACTCGTAGGGCTCTGAGTGCTCAGGAGGGGTGACAGCCTCTGGATTCAACCTCTCACTTCATCACGATGGATCAGCATCTCTCTCTTTTTAATCATATACATAAACCAAGTGCAAACTCATCGGAAAGATTGCACTAAGGCTTCTACCACCAAGACTTAGGTAGCATCAGGTAACCTTAGCTGACCTCATCTGGGAGGCACGAGGGTGTCTAGCGAACACAAGGATCTCCCTGATCTGGCCTAATCCTACTCGTTCTGGTGTCCAGGCTGGTTGCGCTGGACCATCACTCGCAGGATAAAACAGACCTTTCCGGTAGGCTACTATCTTGGTGAGAGGCCAAGGTTTTTGTGTAGACCAGGTGCACCCTAATAGAGCTGTACATTCTGCGAACTTCTGGTGGTAGGGCTGATTTGTGGGCTCCAGGATAGGAGGATGGGAGCCCTGCTCCGTCACCGTGGGCATCAGTGTTTACAGTCCTCCTCCTCCCTCCATATCTTCCCTTGAGCCCCTGTCCCTTTGGGTAGGGTGTTCTGCTAGGAGAGTGCTGCAGATTACCGTGCTCCCCAGGGCACTCATCCTGAGTAGGCAGCCAGCCCACTCCTGGCCTCCTGATTCATTTCCAAATGTTACTGGAACCACTGGCTTCTAGATCTGTTCTGAAATTTGACCAGGAATCCACAGCTAGCCTTCTTGATGGTACTTTCTGGAATATTCTCCCATCTTCTGCAAACCAAGACTAGAGTTTCCTTCTCTGGGCTTTTCTTGTGGCTCCAGCCTTCTGTCAGCAGCCTGGGATGCAGTGGCTTGTGTCCTGGGACTGTGGCCTCTGTGAGGGTCCCCACTGTAACCTGGGTTGTGTTTTGTTACCTGGTTTGCTGGTCCTCAGAACAGCTGACCCGAGAGCTGAGGGGCTGGGCTCCCGGGGCAGGGTGGCTGTGGCCAACCACCATGGCATCCATGGCCTGGCACTGAAAAACCTCTGTGCTCTAAAATAGCAGCCTAGTGGCCAGACCCAGTGCCAGATAGCCCTCCATTGTACCATTGCATTGGATTTGGAAGGGTTTTGTCTTTGTTTTTATAGGATACTAAAGAGTCTCAGATTCAACTGTAATTACTATCTCTTTAGACATCTGAGCAGATGAAAACTTCCAGGTGACTGTCACATAACACCAAGACCCAGGCAGTCAGGACTGATGGAGGCATTAGGGTATGTGGGGAGAGGTAGCTGGGTTCCTCGCACTGAGATAACAGGAAGGTTGAGGAACATACATGGAGACCACACAGAATGGTCATGACCTTGATTGACCCAAGTAACAGGGTGGGGATCTGATTTCCTGGGACTCCGTCCATCTCCATGGTGCCAGACAGCTGGGGAGCCCACTGGTCCTGCAAAAGCTGGACACCTTGAGCCTTTGGGCCATTTCTAAGGCCAAGGTACCCAAGGTTCATCTTAGCCTCACTTCTCTTTGGGTTCCTGGTTCCTGGACGTACATAGATCAAATTTGGATGCAGGTGAATGACTCGCTATTGACAAGTGTCTCTCCAAATGGGCTGTGAGCTGCTGTCGGTGGAAACAGCACCTTAGGTCTATCCCCAGACACACAGGCAGATGCTCAGAAGGAGGTTGCAGAGTGGACAAAGGAAACCATTCGTTCTCTCTCTGCTCTGTGTTCAGATTTCTCCCAATCTTGTGATGTAATTCTCTCTGCTCCCCTGCTCCACTCATGGCTGCTGAAATCCTTGTCCTTCAGGGCCTGCTCAGGTGTCACCCTCACAGATCCTTCCATGACCATCTGCCTAGCGGAGGCCAGGCCTTTCCTCCTGTGAGCCCCTGGCACGCACCTCCCTGGTTGGCATCAGATGTGGGTGTCTGCACCCATCAAGCGAGGGTCTTCACAGGACCTCTGTGCCTGGGCCTCCTGGAGTGGCACACATTTTCCCAGAAAACAGCTATAGTGTCCCTCGTCCTGCTCTCAAAGCTGAGGACTGCCATCGAGGCTGTCTAAAGTTGATTCTTGATGGCAAGAGTCAATTCTGCTTCCTTTTGCTGCTTCAGCTGCACCAGACAAATGTGGGGTGCATTTAATTGGATTGCATTTCTTTATGTTTTCTAATCAGCTCTGACCCCAGAGTCAAGAGACCAGGGCTGGTCCTGTTGGAGCATGAGACTCACTGCCTGACCTCACGAAAATGGGTGCTCTGGCCTCTCTGTGCAGGTCAGGGCTCCACCTCAGCACTGTGTAGCACAGAGATGGAGCCAACCACCTAAAACAGGGTCACTGTTACCACCTGTGGATCTGGCCAGGCTCCTCTGTTCTCTGAGCAGGGAATGAGGTGCAGGAACCCCCAGGGCACACATGGACTGGGCAGCTACACTCCCATCTTGCTGTATTCAAGACAATGGGTGTAAGATGGCCCAGACGTGGCTTGGCTCAGGAAAATCTGAGTGAGTCGAGTGCCCGTCCATCTGGCCAGCTGTCTGGTATGCATGTGCCCCTCCTGCCGATTTGGGAATTCTGACTCAGACCCCCTGAGAGTCCCTGCTTTCTGCAGAGCAGCTGCTGGGTGTAGAGGGAAGAGCAGGACACCTGAGTTTTTTCTCATTAGTTTCACTTCAGTGGGTCATTAAACCTCTCTGTGACTAGATTTCTGTAAACTAGAACAGGGGATCTGCCCTACCGCAGAAGAGCTGGGAGGTTCCTGGGGCACCAGCATGGACTAGCAGGCCCTTTCTGCTAATTAGCAGCAGGTATGGTTTCCACGGTGCCAGCCAAGGTAGTCTGTGCACGCAAGTATACACACACACACGCACACACGGGACACCTGTCTCTCCAAAGCATGCCTGGGAGCAGGCACTGATACAGACACAGACAGTGGGTTTATTTCCCCACGTGGGACTCCAGGCAGGCATCACATTTATGAGGAGTTTCAGCCAACACCAACTCTCTGCCCCTCTGACAGTCCTGGGAGGCTTCTGACCCCCTTACCAACCAGCTCCAGGTGAAGACCACAGAAGGTGAGACATGGCCTTGACACCACGAACTGCTTGGGACACCTATGCCTCTCTCTCTGGGGGCAAGGCCCTGCTGGGACCTCTATGACTGCAGCAGAAGCAGAGTCTGCACAGAGAGGGGCCAGGCAGGCCAGCTGCAGGAGTTGGAACCTCTGGATGCCTTCCCAGCCAGGACACACAGACTCGCCTGGCCCCACAGGCTACTCAGGCACCAGTGCTGTCAGGGGTTCATGGGATCAGCTTTGGCACTGGACCTACTTTCCACACAAGGCTCTAAGGATGGACTGGACCCTGGTCCTGGGGGAAAATGTCCCCACTGGCATTCAGCACCTTGCAGGTGGAGATGTGCATTTGTTATGTGTAGTGAAGTCTATTTTGAAGAGGGCCAGAGACACAGGAAATAAGTTGATGAACTTGGCTTCCCAATTCCAGCCCCCTGAAGCATCTGGGAGATAGACCCCCAAGAAAGAGAGGAAATGGGGAAGGGTATGAAGAGGATGTACTTGAGAGACAGAGCAAGCAGCTGCATACCCTACCTCCACCACGTGGGAAGAGAAGCCCGTCTGTGACATCTCCAGCCCAAAGGACGTCTCATTCTTGTTGGTGCCTAAAACAAGGACAGAAAATGTCAGTCAACTCCATCCATGCCTCCTGATTGCACCATGGTTCCTTTTCTGAAGGCACTTGTGGAGCTGTTTTTCTTTTCTTTTTCTTTTTTTTTTTTTTTTGAGAGACATCAGTGTTGCTGGCAGTCATCAGAGCCCACAGTGAGCTGTGCTGGACTGATTCACATCTGGAAAGGGCTTGGACCAGTCGTGTTATAGGGCACGCATGACTGCTAAAGTAGGGGAGAAATGAAGAAAAAGTACACGACAGTAGCATCGATTTTTGGCAAGAAGTGGAATCTCCCACTTTCTTCACAGCTATCTGTCGACACAGATTTGGTGCCAGATAAATCTGGCTGCTTTCTGAGTAAGCATCAAACCAACCCTTGTGAGGGAGGCTTATCACCTGCCGAGCAGCTTTGCACAGGAAAGGCTGGGGGTGCTGATGGCCCTCCACAGAGGGCACCCTGAACAGAACGATGTGCTCATTGCCCGAGGTGACCATTTCAAGGGGAAGCCCGCTGGTTTGGATATTCCAGTGCTGGTGTGGAGTGAAGGCTCACAGTGAAGACTTGCATGCATCTGTCTGTGGGAGGACCGCCTGGTCTCTTTTTGTGTCTGTGGCTCATAATTTCCACCGCACTGCAGATTTTGCAGAGTTGGGGACACGGCCTTCTTTTTCTTTTTTTAACTGACCCATATGCCCAGAGCCCACCAAAGCAGTATACCATGCATTCGAGATCACACAGCTGGAGGTCCATGCAGGGCTCCCCAACACCTCCCTTCTGATGATGTTGGTTTTGATTTGCACAGAAGAGGTGAAGGAGAGGCAGTGATGTCTGGGGACTGAGTGCTTGAGCACAGAGTCAGGTCCATGGGCTCACACTAGGGTTGCTGGATAAAATCTAGGGCATCCAGTTGAATTTGAACCTCAAACTGCTTAAGACTGTCACAAGTGTTGTGCTTTATGCTTGCCGAATCTGGCAACCCTAGCTCACACCTCGCTGTCTCCCCAAGGGTGGGGATCTGGTGGTCACATAGCTCCTCCGGTTTCCGTAGCAGTCATACGAAGTGGAACATCGGCAAAGACACCTCTGGTTGTCCCTAAAGTGCACAGCCTCACAGCCAGCAGGGAGCAGCACCTGTCGCTGGTGGGTTTTGTTAAGCAAGGGACTCTGGCTAAGCCACTGTGTTTTGTGGGATTGGTTCCCTCTGTGGAGTTTGCCTGATGTGAGCCCTCTCGACAGGCTGACTCACCTTCCAGGCTGAAGATGCGCTCTCCTAGGGCATCAACAATGTCCTTCAAGGCCGCCTCGTCAGTGACATTGAAGAAGTGCTTGTCATCCGGGTCACTGGCGATGTATTTGATCTCATTGAGGAAAGTTTCTGGATTGATCCCCCTGCGGTTGTAGTAACCCAGGACCTGTCGGGGGACAGGGTAGACAACAAACCAGGACATGGGACAGACTTCCCATGCCCAGCCCCATGGTCCCCAAGGTAGGCAGGAACCAGACTGTCTAATAACCATGAGCCATTTGCGTTTTGATACAGATTAGACTTGTGGGGGCAAGATAAGGACCCTGCACTAAGCTGGGCTTCAGGGACTAGGATATGTGGGGCATTTTCTGGGTTTTGAGGTTTCTGAACCTCCCAGGCAGAGGAAGGAAAAACCAAACAGGCCTGAAGTGTTAAGAACATTTTCAACTTTCTTTAGAAACTCTTTAGAAGGGGACAGAAGAGAGGACCTTCAGGAGCCTAGATGCTGCCCCACTACTTCTCTGAAAGCAGACCCCAGGGTCCCCAGGGGTTTGGAGGCAAAGCCTCTGAGAGGGGTCTGAAGCCCTCATACAGGGCAGGACTTACAGCCACAGCATATCTGGTTACGTTGTCTTTCTCGCTTTGCTGGATCACCTTCTCCAGGTCAGGGCTGTCGTGGGACTCCCCATCTGTGATGACAATCATCACTTTCTTGGCTCCTTTCCTTCCACCCTTCTGAAAAGCCTCCGAGCTGGAAGTGGGCACAGGGGTAGGCAGTGAGGTACGTGCCAGGGCACAGTAGCCTCAGACTGAGGGGCAGCCACAGGAGCCAGGGCTGAGCTGGGCACAGGGATGGTCATGGGAACCAGGGCTGCGTCCCCTTGGCAACCCAAAAGACCAACACCTTTGGACATCATACCAAATTAGCTAACCATCCTGGCCAGACTTCCCGTCCACCAGTGCACAGTCGTTCTTGCATTGCTGTGTTTTTACCAAGCAATGTTACAGCCTCCCCCTTTGGAATCCTGACCTTGCTGTCTGGGGCAGGAGGAGGGGTGAGGAGAAGTGTTGTTCAGTGGGGTGCACTTAGGAGAGCCACTGGTTTTTCAAAAGTTCTACCGAACACCAGAACTTCACACCTCTTCCGCAAGGACTGACAAGGCACAGTGGTGGGGTAATTCAACATCCAACCGCTGACTCCACTGACTCACAAATCATGTGACAAAAGCTTGACAGGTTTCTGTTCTCTTCCTCAAGGACTGCTTCTATTTGGGCGAATATTAAACATCAAATCCCATAGAAAATATTTTTCTTGCTAATTTTTATTTTGTTTTCAATAGGTCGAAAATGAACTTGGCCCACCTTTTGGGCCACCAGGGGGTAGCAGGGCTGGCCAGCCGGGATCAATGTGGCAAGGGGGTCCTTAGTACTGGCAATTGCTCTACAAAGCTGGAAACTGGCTCTTGCTGCCTCTGTGACCAACCCTCCTTTAGACCATGGGGTTCTGAGAAGTACAGACATGGTCTCACCCTGAGCTGGGCCTGGCAGGTAGAATTTTCCAATAAGGGTTTAAAAAAAATAAACATCACTCTTGGACTCTGGTGTTTCCTCATGGGCCTGATGCACGTAGGGCAGGAAGGACAGCTGTCAGATTGAAGCTCTACTGACAGGTCGAAGGACACGGTTTGGTTAGCAGAGTCATCTCTCGTTGTATGGCAAACTGATGCATGTGAGTCAGAGGTTGAGGACTGGGGAAAACCTGGACTAAGTTAGTTCCGAACTTCAAGTTACCCATGCAGAGGAAAAGCCATCTGCTCTCCGCATAGCAGCTGTATGACACACTGGGTATGTTTAGTAAGAGCTCTGGACTGAGGGGTGACGGTCAGCACAGATTTGGGGATTAAGCCCGACTCAGTGCAGGCAGATGCTAGGTGCTTCCATGACCTCATGGAAGGACCAGGCCCAGGAGTAAAACTGGTATGGTGGGGGGAGAAACAGGTTTCTATTGTATGTGGAGCCAAGCAAAATTTCAGGATCGTGTTTCTTTCCATAAGCAGAATGGTGCAAACGTGTGCAGCAATCTGTAGAGTGTGACTGTCAGCATGACCGTCAGACTTTGAACTGTGATTGTGTGTTGGGTAAAGGGACTTGGATGTGTTCCTTTGTAAATTAGATTATAAATTCCTTGAGTGCAGTGAGAACTTTATACTCATAACAGGTTCTGCCAAGCTAGAAACCAGATGACCCATGGAAACTGAGCCCATGTTTCACTACTCTTTGCGTGTAACGGGCTGGCGTTTCTCTCAGGGAGAGCCCAGGTCCAGACAGATGCTCACCAGGCCCTATGTCATCTGGCCCCATTATTTCTCCACACACTGGTTCTCTTAACACCTGGCATGTCCAGAGCCTTTGAACTGTACCTCCACCCCCAGTACCTGTGGTCAGTTCCTGTGTGTCCACTCCAAGGTCACCATTCATTGAAACCCTTCTGAGCGGACAGGCCTCCCTGGGGACCCTTTCTCTTGCATCCAAGTTAGAATTAGGGCTAACACTTGTCAGAGCTCCTTTACTGGGCTGAGAGTCTCTAAGACCAGGGGCCACAGGTTATCATCTTTGTAACCTAGGGTCCTTGGCCTGGACCTTTGCTGTTTGGTAGGTGCACAGAGAAAACAAACAAACCAATAACAAACAACCCCTCCCCCCCCACACACCAAATAACAACGCATTCTGAATAAGCAATCAAGAAGAGAAAACCCTCACCTTAAAAGGCAGCAGCTGTGGTTTGGGGCCTGAGCATGGCAGGCTGGGAGGCCAGAGTTTCCACAGTGTTGAGTCACAAGTGGCTAAAACCACCTGGTGAGTCACACGTGTGAAATTGACCTGAGGCTGGTGGGCTGCAAAAAGAGACCAGAGCCATGGGTTTCACCCTCCATGAGTTGGCCAGCTTCACACTGGGAATGTGACAGCGTGGTCACTGGCTCCCTCTGTTGCCCAGCCTGCCGGGAGTCTCAGGTCTCATCAAAGTGGCCTGTTCCTTGTGAGGATGAATAAGAGAACCATCTTCACGGGGAGAGACACTCATTTAGGGAAAGCTGAGCAGTTTTACCATGCACAGAAATCCACCAGCTGAGAGTCGACTTAGTCACAGAGCTGTGAGGTTGGAAGACTCTTAATTGTTTGGCTTCATGAAGCCATGGTACAACTATGGAGTGCTTACTCCGTGGGATTCTGTTAAACACATTGACTAAGGCTGATGAGGTGGGAATGCAGGGTAATGGGACCGCAGTTTCAATGAACGTAACAGAGCGCACATCCTTGCCATGAAACTTAGACATTTAATAATTTATATGCCTTTCACATAGTCAGTTTAGAAGTCTGGGCCTTGGCTCAAGAGATCTTGGGGAATTGCCTTTAAAATTGGTGCTTTCAGGCCGGGTGCTGGTGGCTCACACCTGTAATCCTAGCTACGTGGGAGGCTGAGATCTGGAGCATAGCAATTCCAGTTTGTTAGAGGCCCCATCTCACCCAAAAGCTGGACATGGTAGCGTCCACCTGTCATCCCAAGCTACTTGGAAGGTGAAGATTGGGAGGATGGCGGTTGCAGATCAGCCTGGACAAAAGTTTTTGAGATCTCATCTCAATGGGAAAAAACTGGGCCTACCGGCACACCCCTGTCATCCCAGCAGAGGCAGGAAGCCTAACATAGGAGGATCATGTTCCAGGCTGTCCTAGACAAAAAGCGAGACCCTATCTCCAAAATAACCAGAGCAAAAGGGCTGGAGGTGTGGTTCAAGTGGCAGAGTGCCTGCCTAGCAAACGCAAAACCCTGAGTCCAAGCCCCAGTCCACACACACACAATTGGAACTTTCAATGTGGCCTTCTAGGTAGACGATGTCTAGCAGTGACATTCAACTGGATGACTGGGTTCTGGTGTGATTTCAGGCAAGGAGGCTCATTACTCCACAGTGTCTGATGACAGAGTAACTGTGTTCGTCACACCCCATTAGTGACAGGCACTCCACAGAGGGGTCTGCTCTCTTAGAACTCATCCTGTCCGTGACAGAAGCATTTTCCAACGCTGGCTGCAACAACATCCCTATTCTGAATGCCCTCTGCCAGGTGACCTTGCCACTCCTCCATCAAGAGGCAGACTCAGACCCCTTCCTCTTGAATCTGGGCTTATTAACTTGCTTGACCCACACAATGGTGGAGTCACATCTGGGAATTTGAGGCTAGGCCCCACTTCTGCCGGGTCCTTTTTTAGGGAAGATTGCTCTTGGGATAGTCCCTCTTAGGACCCAGATGCCAGATGTGGGAAAACCAGGTCACATGGCCATAGGTGAGTGCTTATGTCACCAGCCCCAATAGCCAGCAAAGACAGCCAGTCACGTGAGTGGGTGCCAGTGGGGCCTTAGGTGGCAACAGTCCCAGCTAACACCAGGTTGTAACCACACCAGAGAAACCAAGAGAGGACCTCCCAGTTGGACCCAGTCCATCCACAGAGGAGTTGACAAACCATTGCTTCAAGGCACCAAATTTTGTGGTAGTTTTGTGCACCACAACAATAAGTAGAATATTAACTGAGCTCTCAAACATTTAACACCCTAGGTGCCTTTCACTTGTACGTATGTATGAATGCATGTGTTTTTTGTTGTTGTTACCGAGCAAATTCAATGCCAAATGCTGTCCGAGTCTCTGTTCCTCCTCTCTGCTCGATGTGGCTGGCGGCCTCTACCACGTCTTTGACAGACCTGTAGTCATTGAGGTGAAACTCGTGCACTGCGTCTTCTCCGTACTGAACCACTCCGACCTGCAAGTCAGAGGAGAAGGCAAGAGACGGCTCCACCCTGGAACTTAGACCTCTGGCAGCGAGGGCCCGGACTGGTCTCTGTCTACAGCACTTCAGGTGGGGAGTCACCCTTCCCAGAAGTAACTACAGCCCATGGACACAGGCTCTGCAGAACTCTGGGAATGAACCACGGCTCAGGGAGGACGAACACAGAGAAAGGGGACTTAGTGATATGAGGAATCCCAACAGATTTTGTGTCTTCCTTAGGACGGGGAAGTTTAAGCAAGCCTGGTCTACACTGTCAGGAGCAGTGTAGGTGGGGGCCGTGGTGGTGTTCACAAAACTCAAACTAGGGCTGCTCAAAACTTGGGAGAGAGGCTCTTTCATTTCCAAGGTAAATGAGGTATTGACAATACTACTAGCTTCAAAATAAAAATCTCTTTAGTGGGGATCCAATGATAACACTGGGAAGAGTAGCCAAGCTTGCTAGGTACAAGTGCCCCTTGACTGTGGTACACTCACCCCTGGGCCCTAAAACTTGGTCATCTGGAGAGGGGAACAGGTTACTGCATGAGAAAGTCCACTCCCCTTTCAACAGCCCACTCCTCAGATAATTCCTTAGAACTTGCTGTTTGCCACTTTAGGACTTGTATCCACTGGTCCTCATTCAGCCAGATAAGAGGGAATAAATATTCCTGTTAGCCAGGCAGCTCCTCAAATATATGCTGGCAGCAACCTCTTCTCAGTCGTCTCCTCTCCAGGGTCTCTATGCCTGGTTCTCCTGGATCTCCCTCCATACCCTTTCCTGCCTCCTGCTCTCTCTCTATCTGGTCTAAGCCCTCATAGGTGGCTTACCATGGGGTAGCATAGATCCAACCCCAAAAGATAGCATTTGACCCTTCATCTGAGGCCTCCCTGGACTGACCCTTGATGTGCCCACAGGAGATGGGTATCCAGGCTTCATGTCTCAGTGCTTGTGTACTTGTACCTCCTCAGTACACGCAAACATGCTTCCCAACACCCCAGCACAGCACAGGCTATGGGTTTAGGGGTCCTTTCAGAGGAGGAAGGAGCCCCAGAGTTGCTCACCTGGATCTGCCCTGGGCCGATGTAAAACTTCTTCAGGATGTTGATGAGGAAGTGTTGAACCTCCACCCATGGGTAGATGCTGTTGGAGCCATCCAGGACAATGATGATGTCCATGTAGGTCTGGCACCCTGGAAAGTGGGGACACGGTCACAGCTACCTGAGGAGCCAGTGTCTGCAAAAGTCTCTGATTTCCTGGATGATTGTTAAAGAATGACAGTAGAATGATTGCAACATTCATGTCCTTCCTGAGGCTGGGAGCTGTCCCCGGGCTGGACATTTATTTGGGTGACATGAATGGTAAGGCTGGGAAGTCAGGTTCTGTTCCACCTACTCTGAAGGCCATTTGAACAAAGCTTCAATTGAGCATGACAATTGGGTGACTGACCATCACTGATTGGTCAGTGCTCCTGAGGTCAATGGCCCTGCCCAATCAGGTCCAAGCCACCATTTACTACGCTGTCCCAGGCAGGTGGCATTTGCAGCCTGAATGAACAGATTTCACTTTCATGACAGAGAGGGGTCGTGGCATAAGGGCTAGGAGCGTGGACACCGGCATCAGCGTGGTCAAGTCCTGGCCTTGCCACTCACAGGCAGTGCGACCTGGAGGCAGTCACACAACCTCTGTGGCTATAAAAGACGTGTAATGACAAGTGTGTGTTGCTGAGAGGAATTAATGAGAAGGTTCTTCTAAAAGCCTACGTCAAAGCAAGTGCTTAATAAATCTTAGTTGATTCTACTTTTATTTTTAAAGCAAACCACTGAACTAATCCGGAAGTGACTTCATTTGGTCACACGATTATCCTTCATCACCGCCTCTGAACATAAAGCTCTTTTTCTTGTCGTGATGAATACCAGCTTCCACACTGTCATAAAATACGCCTTACGACAATGTGGCTTGCCCTGCGTCTGTTAGCCGTTCATTCCCATCGCCTTGCATCTGTAGGTGTTCCCTGTGCTCCCTGCCTGGCCAGAGGGAGGTGGAGGCTTTGTGGGTTTTTTATTTTATTTTATTTTATTTTTGAGACAGTCTTGCTGTGTAACCCAGGGTGGCCTTGAACTTTTGATCCTCTTGTTTCCACCTCCTGAGTAGCTGGGATAACAGGTGTGTTTTGAGTTTGATGGAGCATTTTAGAAGCATTTGGGTGACTTGGACGCTCAGCTCCTTCTTGCCCCTGCATGTTGCGTGCAGCAGGTGGCCACCTGAACTTCTGGCCTGAACTGATGGGCTGCATGGGGTAGATGTGACCTTTGTCACTTTGGCTTAGCACCTTTGGACTAAGCACCTGCTAGGCACCAGAGCTCTCATGGAGTGAGTGGTGAGTGACTGTGAGGGTAGGGACCAGGTTTCTTTTATTTTTAAACCAGTTTTGTTATTATAATGTATTTATTATTTTGATGTCTTTCTTATAACTCTGATTTTTAAAAAAGATACCTTGGGAATCTGGCTTTGGGTCTGTGGTCCTAAACAGAGCTGAATACTCCCTGGGGGACTGTGAAGTCTCTCTCTCTCTCTCTCTTTCTCTCTCTTTCTCACTCTTTCTCTCTCTCTCTCTACCTCTCCTGGGGCCTAGCCCAGACCTTCTGAGTTCGAACCCTCACAGAGTGCCCTGGAACCAAGTCTGATGAGCTGCAGGGCAGTCCTGCTCGCCAGGTTGAAGGACTCCCCTGAGGGAGGGTGAGGGAGTTGTGGGGGGGGTCACTTGTGCCTTGCTGAGAGCAGCTGCTCTTGGGATGGGATGTCCCAGTGGGAACCCACATGCCTTGCCCTCGGCCTCTCCCTTTCCTGTCATGTTGGGAAACGCCCACACTTTCCCAGCCCCCACTGGACCCATTGGGGAGTATGGGGAGGCTGCCGGCAGACAGGCCAGAGCTGCTAATCCCCTCACCCTCCATAAATGGCAGCACCTGCCCTCGGAGGGCATTTAGCCCAGAGAGAGTGAGGCTCAGAGCCAAGAAGTCTGGGCTTTCACCAGTGAGGTCTGAGCACTAAGTCCCTGGGTTTTCTTGGCGGTTGGGGAGTGAGGGGGAGGTTCATGACCCATGAGGATCTAGGAGAGCTGGGTTGAATCCCATGATGTCTAGGACTTGCTACAAGGGTGCCCCTCCACCCTCAGGGCTACTGTATTGTACGACACCAGTGAGCACCATTTACACTGTAGTCTAAGTGAATGATGCCTCAGAAATGTGCAGTGTGTGGCTTTCCTGCTGTATGTGCTGGCCTGGCCTCCTCCATGCTCAGAGCTTTGCAGTGACAACACTCTCTGGATGCCAGAACACATTTCAGATGCTCAACTCATGCCACACTGTGGGAGAGGGCAGGCTGGGGTTACCCCCCTCTACACACACAAAGAGGTCCAGCCAGGTAAAGTGACTTCTCCTAAGTCATGCAGAGGACCGGAGCAGGGTGATTCTAGAGCCCCGTGCTGCTTTGTAGCCCCAGGACAGCAGTGATCCGAGCCCAAGGCCTCTCTGGACGACCACTACTAGCCCAGCCAGCAGACTGGAAAGACTTACTTTGGAGAGCTGGAGCCACAGTCTTGGAGAACCTGAAGTTGGAGTTGACTCGTGAGCACATCCCTGTGGTGTAGTAAGAGCTTCCACACTCGTGAGACCAGAGGGGACTGCAGGCCTGTGGAGCAGCACAAAGCACGCCCTGGTCATTCGGTTCACGGCGGGCCCGGCCCCAAACGCCACCACCAGCACAGACAGGATCCTAAGGGGGGTGAGGGTCTTCTTTGGGTCTAATCCAACTCTCTGGCTACAGCGTGCAACAATTCTTTGTTTGAGATGTAACAGGGAACAACAAATCTCGTGTTGTGGTTTTTCCGGACCCCATTCTCCATGCTGTCATTCAGAGTGGTGACTTTTCCTCCCTTAGCTGCCCACCCCACACATCCCACAGGATCTTGGGAGTGGGCCTTCCAAGGGTCACTAGAATAACTCAGATTCACCCGAAGTCTCTTCCTGTGAAAACTTGCAGGACTGGGGCTTAACATGGTGGCTCTTACCAGGGAAAGGAAAAAGAATGTCTACTTTCTGTGAAATTTGCTACCAAAAACATTGACAGCAGGCTCTCAGTGAAGGCTCGATCCTTTTTCCTGCCTGGACTGTTTCCCCAAAATGTAGGCTCGGTCACCCAGAAAGGCATGAGCCGGTGGAGGAGCAGTGTCCTAACATGCACAGGGACAGCCTGGGAGGTAGAGGTTGTATGCGTGAGGAGGGCACAGGAGCCTGAGTGAGGAGTCAGCCACACCTGCCTCTCCCCACCCCATGCAGCAGTGCTGTGTGGCGGGAAGGCTGGGGAGAGCAGGGGCAGTGGCTCTTACCAGGAAGCTGTTGTCCTTGGGGTTGGTGGCAAGGCTCAGGCCAAGACGCATGTTGTCCTTCCGCTCAGACACATTGGACAGGGTGACCCTCCCTGGAAAGAAGGGGAGAAGCTCAACCTGCAGCCCGTCCTGGTCACGGAGCTGCCCGGGCCCCTTGCTCACCCACCTTCCCCAGGCCTTCCCCAGACCTGGGCTCCTTCCTTCCTCACAGCTCCCTGGGAGACAAGGCTCAGAGACACTGAGCCATCTTACAAGGTCACACAGCAAGCCCACGGCACAGCCTCCCATCCTCAGTCCAGAGCTTTCCCTCTTCCAACCATCTGACTGCACCCTAACATCCCCTCTGTGCCCCACCCTAAACACAGGACAGTTCCCTCAAGGCAGGTCCCTCTGCAGGAACTTTCTTCCACCTCTTACCAACAGACACCGCCCGGGGTCCTGCTCTTTCAGGACTCTTGCTCATCCGCCAAACTCCCCTTCTCTAACAGGAAAGGAATAGACAACTTGACCAGTCTTTCAGAGGTCAAGGCCTGGCCCAGGAGCCTCTTGCAGCTGGAGTAGCAAGTCTTCCCAAGGCCATCCCCGCCTGGGCACACTGTCGGGTAGGGGGCTTTCTGAATAGAATGAGTTTCAGGAGCATATCCCACACGGACCCTTGGAGGCCCATACTCCCATCAGACACGGCCACAGGCATCCTCGGGGACAGCTATCCCATGCATTTTCTAGAAACTCCCTCACCGGGTGGAGCTCGCAGGCCCAGCCCAGGGCCGGAGCCCAGGCCTTCTTCCTGGTCCCGTCAGCTGCTCACAGCTGGAGCAACATTCAGGAGCAGCAGGACCAGCTGACTGTGTCGGGAGGGGGATGGCTTTGGGGAAGATCAGAGTCACAAAATAATGAGATCTCTTAAGCTGTTCTGGATCATTCTGTCAGGTCACTGAAGGAAATGAATTTGACTTCCCCAGAGCATGAACACCTAGGGCAAAGGGGGGGAGAATGTCAGCACCTCCCAGCTTGTGGGCTCTGGGAGGCCTCAGCCCAGGATGGTTTGCAATCTGCTGTCGGTGACTAGAGGTGCTCAGCAAGGCCAGGGACAGGCCTTGGAGGTGGGGTGGGAGGTCGGGGTGGGGAGTCAGCTGCCGGAGAGCCGAGCAGCAGGTGTGTGACTGCTCTGAGGCTGGGCAGTGTGCCTGTCACATCTTTTCTCAGTTTCCCCAGCTTTTAGTAAGGCTCCTTTTGCAATCAAGTTCACCCTCTGTAATGGATGGGGATCGTTTTGTTCTGTCCGTCTAGACTGGCCAAAGAAAAAGCAAGAGCAATAGCCCTGGGGTCTAAGGCACCAGTCACTTGCAAAGCACTGTACACAATGCCCACCTAGACCCTCTTGGCCTGAGCGGCCAGGAGGCACCACGCCACGTCCAACTTGCAGGTGAGTTAGGCAAGTGTAAATTCCACGGGTAAATCTGATGTGTCCTGAGCTTGTGCTGTCTGATGGCATCACAGGGGCACTGGGACTGCAGAGGAGGCCCCGAGCCTTCACTGGGGAACCTCTGCCCCCGGCTGGCCAGCTCTCTGCCCCCTCTTAGTTGAGGGGCTGTATCTCACACCACCCTGCGCCCCCTTTCCTTCCTCTTCCCCGCCTGCTGCCCAGGGAGGCGAGGTAAGAAAGACCCTGTGGGAGACTGAGACAGGCTCAGGTCCTGTTGTGCCCTGCCCTCTGTGACCAGCAGAGACCCATACTTCCTCAGCATGTCTGTGTGAGAGTCCAGGGGCACAGGCTCTCCTCACACAGGGTCTGCCTTCTAGCGTCTGTCACCTTCCTGGATCCTCATGAGTACACGCGTAGACAAATTACAAAGCAGGGTCACTGCAGGTGGGGATAAACCCTGAGCTAGAAAGGAGCCCAGGGACACTCCACAACACTTTCCCTTCCCTAGAGAGAGAAGAGGTCATTCCTGGCCGTGCGCCCAGCACCTGGAGAGGCCATAGGGAGCTGGGGACCCAGGTTTCCGGGCAGTAGTTTCCCCCTGTGGGAATAACTGACGAGGCTTCCTGCCCCACACTTTCTTCTCAGTGGGAAGGAGAGAGCCATGCCTCAAGTGGAGGTCATTTTCCCTGTCCTGACTTACACTGTCTCCTGGGCTTACACGTTTTCCAGGGCTTTCCACCTCCTCCGTCCTCAAATGAGAGCAGTGGTAAAAGCACCATGACTGATTCCATGTCCTCGCCCCACCAGCACCAGGAGCTTCTCTCAGTTGCTTGAGCTCTGAGCCTAGCGCCTGCCTCTGTATACCTCCCTCACTCCCTCTGCCCCAACTATACACATGTTCCTTAGTTCCCCAACAGAGCAAACTCGTTCCCACCCCAGGGCCTTTGCACTTGCTTCCCCTCAGCCTGGAATGCTTGTCCCCAGCTGCCTCCTCCTTACATCAGGCTTTTGCTGGCTGAAAGTGGCCTGTGCTGACTGTCTTGCTAAGGTTTCTCCATCCTCAGCTTCCTGACTCAGTGCACAGGGTTTATCCCTACCTGCAATGACCCTGCTTTGTAATTTGTCTACTCGTGTACTCATGTACTCATCCCCTTCACCAGAGCCCCGATTTCCTGTCCCCTCTGTATCCCAAAACCTAGCATAGTGCTTGGTACCTGTGCTCACTAAAGGTTGGGGACCTGGAATGGAGCTTAGGGATTGTCGAGTCTACCCTCCTCACCATGCATGGGCAACCGAGGCTCAGAGAGACGATGAGCTCCCAGTGGACACCCAGGAGGAGGCTCAACACCTGGAAGGAGGGGAAGCCCAGCCGGCCTGTTTCTGAAGCCTGTGCCTCAGGGTGGGGGTGACAGACCCTTAAGCTACCAGGAAGGCCAGAGCCTGGCTGGTAGTATTTACTCATTTAAGCTCAGGCCCTGGCATTCTGGGGTTTTGAACTTCCCACCCATGGCGCTGATGCAGCTGTGGACAGCAGGAGCCTCCAGTGCCATGTGACAGACAGCTGGCTGCCCTGGGAATCTGGCTCCTGGGGTTTTATACATGGCCTTTGCAGCCATCTGCTCATCTCTGGAGCCTTAGACATCTCCTTTTGCACCCACTCCCTGCTGTCCCTCCCCACCTGGAGATGCCAGTGGTGCTCTAGGCCGAGGTGTGCATGACACCTGCTGGGGGACAGGGAGGCCTAGCCCTGAACCTGGAGCAGAGGCCGGTTCTCCAGGGAAGGACTGAGAAACGCAGCTTTGCAGCCCACACGGGCCTTTGCTCCCTTTGGCGGGCCGGAGCAATGCCCACCACCACCTGCCTTAGAGGACAAGGCAGAAGCTCTTCAGTGGGCACGTGTGTGCACACAGGCACACAGGATTTCCCAAGGGCTTGGGGGGCTGGGGGCTGCTCCCAGCATCTCCCCTGCTCTCTGCTCCAGGTGCGCTGAGGGCTCTGGGTGAGGAAAAGCCTACGTTCAGAGAGGCCACCGTGCAGTGGTTACAGAGTGGCCAAAGCCTTAGTGGCATGGAATCCCAGTCTGGCTACTTACTAGTGGGGTGGCCCTGGCAGAACCCCTGCCCTACACACACTCACTGCCTTGTCTGTTAGATGGTTAAATCTCATGGATGTGACAGGATTAAATGAGTCCAAATAACTCAAAGTGCTCAGGCCAGGCCTTGGCACCTGCTGGGCATTACCTAAGACCCACAAATGTGAGCTGTTGCTGTTATTATTTCAAAGGCAGGAATAGTAAGACAGCGATGTTCTTTGTTACTGGCATCCCAGTGCCGCGTGGTGGCTGAGATGAACAGGGCTGCAGCCTCAACGCTGGATGGCTTTGAATCCTGGGACCCCACCGTGCTGTGTGACCATGAGAAGACCACTTCCTCTCTCTGACTTCAGCTTCCCTGTCTGAACCTGATGGCAGCTATAGAAGCTGAGCCACCCATAGGGCCTCTGGGACCGACCTGGCTGTCCTGGCCACTTACCCAGATTGAGCTTGGTGCAGTTGCCCTGGGTGACCGGACACTTGTACACATCTCCTGTCTTCTGGTGGCCGTTGGTTTCCAGCGGGGCGCCCACTACCAGCCTGCCAGGGAAGAGAGGACAGTGGAGACACTGGGGAGGAATGACTTCTGGCAGAGGGTGGGCCTGCTGAGCAGTGTGGGTGGGGAGCAAGGGTAGGAAGAGGGAATCTTGGAGAGGTGACCACAAGCAGACCCTTGGGACCTGGGATGCTGGGCTTTCAGCCTGGGGTCTGTTGGTTCCTGGGGTCTGGAACAGAGGTGAAGACTACTCTGATCCTGCAACAAACAGGACAGAGGAAGGGTGTGTCTGTGACAGGGTCTTAATTGATGCATAGGAGTCTGGCAAGTGGTAAGGGCAACCATGACTATGGGCAGAGGAAGGGTGTTCTTGAGCCAAGGAGTCTTGGTCACCAGCCATTATTTCAGGCCTCATTCACCTTACAGGGAAAGCTTTCATCCTGATGGGGTTTTGAGGGGAGTTGCTCAGGGACCACTGAGTCTTGCTCAGGTAGGCAGGACAGCTAGTGGGCTGAGGAACAGCCACCTGGCTGGACTCCCATCTTGAGAATACATCTTTGTGACCTGACATGGAGATGGGGTCTTTAAAGATGGAACAAGGTCAGGATCTGGGGTTGGGGTCATCATGGATTATCCAGGTGGGCCCTGAATCCAACGAGTGGGTTTGTGAAGGACATGCAGAGATAGGGAGAAGAGGAGACCACATGGACATGGAGGCAGATGGCCCTGGAGGACCAGGGTACCTGGGACCCTGCATGTGAAAGAACCAAAGAAGGGCCCTTCTGTAGTCTAGGAGGGAGGAAGACCTGTGCCATATGGCTTTGGCCTCTGTGTCTGTGAGGGAGCAGACAAAGGTTTCTGCTGTTAAGTCACCTGCTTTGTGATAATTTATTCTTGCAGCCACAGGAAGTGAGCACAGCTTGTGCACAGCTCACAGATCTAAGGAAATGCGCAGACACTGGCACCCTGGAACCCCAACACCATACGTGGGTTGTGGACTCACTTCCCTTGGGGCCAGGGGCATTTCTACCTGTGACTGGAGGACATAGGAGCTACAGTGTGACCTGAAGGGAAGCCTTTGTCCCTGGCTGCTCCCATCAGCCGTGTGTCACCTGGCATACCTGGAGCCCTCTGTGCCCTGGACTACTGTTTGGCTCTCTGCTCAGGCCTAATGGCTAATGGCTAAGAATGGCTCTTCCTGGGGACAGCGGTGCTGTGATGGGAGCCCTGGAGGCTTTGGTGAACCCTATAGTGAAAGTAGATGATGTGGATTGAGGGTACAAGGGCAAGAGAGAGGGCTGGGAGCCCCCTGGATTCTGCTCTTTCAGTAGCTGCCCGCCACCAAGCCATATGGCCCAGAGAACAAACCTCTTCTCATCCTCCACCTTACGATGTCTGTGAGGAGGCGGCTGCAGGCTCGGGCTGCCCAGGTGCAGCCTTCCTAAATGGAACATTGTGCTGACCCCTGCCCCGGCCTGGCCCACCTCAGTGCCATCAGAAAAGGAAGCCAGGTCCAAAGTGGGGCTTGACAGAGCTGTTTGAAATTAAGTGTCTGTGAAATAAGAGCTGAGGTTTCTCCCCTGGGAGCCAGAGAATGACAGGTTCTAAATATAGCCCTCATTAAGCATGCCTGTTTTTGACTGGCAGGAATTAATTGGACCTATAAAATGTTTGTCTAGACGACCGTGACTTTTGGCTACTTAATTCTGTGAATGATTGTGTGGCCAAGGCTACTCCATTCTGTGTGTGTGTGTGTGTGAGAGAGAGAGAGAGAGAGAGAGAGAGAGAGAGAGAAGAAAGCAGGGCCTGCAAGCTGGCCTTTCTAGCTGCTTTGGCTCTCAAGGCTCACCTGACCACCTGACATGTGACCAAGTCTTCCTGAGGTTGTCCCAACCTGGGCACAATGCCAGGAGGCAGGGTGAGGGGCCTTTCTGGCCAGAGTATCTTCATGGGGCATGGCCCACATGGACCCTTCGAGGCCCATAGCTCTCATCAGGACATGGGCAGGACCATCCTCTGGAACAGCATCCCCACGTGCTTTCTAGAAAACGCCACCGGCTCCTCACAACTCTCTCCTTCACAAAGCAGAGCTCACTGGGCCCAGGCTGGGGTCCCGAAAACTTGGGCTGAGAACTCGGAGCTCAGCCTTCTTCCTGGGCCTGTCAGCAGCTCACTGTGCAGCCTTGGAAATCACTGAACGTTCCAGAGCTTGGTTTTCTGGCTGTGAAATGGTTAACACTCCTGACATTGCTGACCTCCCAGGGCTGCTGTGGGAAGCCACAAGAGGCCTGGAGAAGAGGAAGGGGCCTATCTGGGTTAGCTGTGCATGGATGGTAGCTACCTGGATATGGCCAAGATGGGGTAGTGTGGCAGTCACCAGACCCCAAATTCCAATACGACTGCATTTGGTCCTTCTTGGAGACTCCCAGACTTCATTTCCCTGCAGGTCCTTGGCACTTTCGGGGGACGAGAGGCAGGGCTGGGCTTCTGTTCCCATAATAAGATGCAGAAACTGAGGCCCTGAGGAGCTGCAGGGGCCCCACAGTTGGTGGCAGGACTGGGACTGCCTAGGCTTCCCCTATGTTGCCCCCAAATGCCTCTTTGCCAGGACGGGAGGCTGGAGTCTGGGCCTGACATGTGCCTGGCGGGCTTGAGGTTTGGAGGATATGATTCAGGCTCGCTCTGAGGGGCTGACTGCCCCACGTCACCACCCAGAGCAGCCAAATTGCTCCTGGGGTCTGGCAGCCCCTGCCACCCCCTGTGGCCTCAGCCTTATATAGCCAGCCACAGCCTTGGGGCCTGCAGGGCCTCTCAGAAGCTGGATACCCAATATCTTCTGGTGTGGGCACAGACAGCATGGGAAACCCCAAGGTCTCGGCATGCCTTCCATGGCAGTGTGCGTCACCCACTGCCTGTGGTCTCCCAGCATTCTTCCTGGGGAGGTGGAGGGGAGAGTGACCTTGGCTGATGGGACCTGGCAGTAGGCATTTCAGCTGCAGCCCTGTAGGACGCCTTCTCTGGCAGTCACCAGCTAAGCAGGGCCTTGCCAAGGTAGGACGCTGTCGGTGGAGAAGAGGCCTGTGAAGGCTGGACTGGTCCTGCCAGGTGCCAGGTCCATAGCTCCACTCGCAGCAGGACACGGGTAAGGGGAGGGGCTTATGTCCTGGGCCTCCTTCCTGACTTCCTGCCTCACATCTTTTCCCACAGGCTCTGTGGAACTCACTCTGAATTCTGCTTAGGCTTAGCTCCATCCTTCAAGGCAGTTGGGGCCCCAAAGTTTTAAAACTGAGACTGGGACATTTACCCCACACCATGTTTAAACATACACACATGTTACAGGGCCCAACTGTGTATTAAATGACAGAGATCCCTTTTTCAGATAAAATATAAACCTAGGAGTCTCGCACAGGCCCTGTGGTGCACACTCACCCTGAGACCATCCCTTTAAGATGTGCACGCATCCCCAGTTGGTCAGGAAGCCCTTCCAGGTTGACCTGCTCTCTCACATAAATCAGTGTGGCTCTGGCTGCCTGCCGAGGTTCATGTGGCCATGTTGTAACCTGTCCAAGCCCAAGAAGTCTTGGTCTGCCCTGCCGCCCATTGTGGGTAGCATTGGAGGTGCGTGGTAAAGGGGTGACTGCTGCCCGATCCAGCCTCTATCTGAAGCCTGCTGCAGCAGTGGCTCTGGGAGCTGTTCGTTTTGTGAGGGCCTAAGAGGAACCCCAACAGGGTACCTGGAAAAAGTATTTTCCAAGCATAGAGGTTCACTGGGGGTCCCAGGCTCCTTTCTGAAGCTGGCAACAAGCGCTCCTGCTTTCCACTTTCCTCTTCCTGTCTCAACTGTTCCCACTCCCTCCCTCCCTCTCCCTCCCTCCATTCCTTCCTTCTTTCCTCCCTCCCTTCCTCCTTTCCTCCCTCTCTCTCTCCCCTACTCTCTCTCCCTCCCTCCCTCTCCCTCTCCCTCCCTCCATTCTTTCCTTCCTCCCTCCCTTCCTCCTTTCCTCCCTCCCTCCCTCTCTCGCCATCCTGGGAATCAAACCCAGGGCCTTGGGCATGCAGGCACATGCTCTACTACTTGTGCTGTGCTTCCCTCAGCCCTCTCTCCTTTTATTTTGCTTTTGGGACAGGGTCTCATGCCACCTTCTGCTTGGGCTGGCTTCTAACTAGTGATCCTCCTGCCTTGATGACCTGAGAAGCTGGGGTGACAGGTGCAATGGTCCTCATTTCTTTTGGGGGATCCGACTGTGTTCTCAGGGACACGGATGCAGCTGAAGCTTCAACTCCAGCTACAGGGACTGAGTCATGTCTCCCCAACCAGAGTGGTCTCAGGACATCTGCTTGGGACATGGGGACCATGCTGATCTCTTTTCTCTGCATGCCATTGTGAGGGATGCAAAGCCTGGAAATGATGGCTGACACTTTATGATGAAGAGGGACGTGGTGCAATGACGGGACTAGGAGGAGCTGCTGAGGTTCTGGTGGCATGAAGGAGCAGCAGGTACCTCTGTGCCAGCTTCCGCTCCAGCTGGGCCTGCAGTCACTGAGCGGCTGTGGGCAGAACCACCAACACTGCGCACAGCATTTCTTACCGTTGTTTAACTGACTTGGTAAAACTGTCCCGGGCCTAGTCTACCAGAACAGAAACCCCTTTGTCCTAAGTGCATTCCACTTACAACAGCCACTCCAAGTCCTGAACTGCAGACGTGCCTGGTTATCTGTCACGGGCATGGAGACCGCGAGCTGGAGGGATGCCCCTGGGCCAGCCTTAGAAGAGGCTCCAGGGCCCTGAGCAAGGGAGGCTTGGATGCCAGGTCTCTGGGTAGCAGAGTTTTACTGGGGCCAGTGTCTTGACACACAGATAGGGCTTCCCCCAAGCCATGGAGGGTGGGACGTCCACAGGCCAGGGCTGGGGTTTTGGGCCCAACCAGGCCTTTTATTAGCTGTGTCTGGTGAGGCAGGTGTGAGCAGCTTAGCCATGAGCACAAACAAAGGAGCCTCCAAAGGAGGTTGCCTCTGGGGGAGGTCTCGAGCCCAGAGGCTGGCAGAGAGTGTCTAGAAAGGACAGGATGAGGACTCAGACCTCTCTCTGGCCAGCCTGGTGGCCCCTGTCTGCAAGGCCTGTGCCTCACATCCTGGGGAATCCAATGATCCCCCCATGAGCACAAACAAAGGAGCCTCCAAAGGAGGTTGCCTCTGGGGGAGGTCTCGAGCCCAGAGGCTGGCAGAGAGTGTCTAGAAAGGACAGGATGAGGACTCAGACCTCTCTCTGGCCAGCCTGGTGGCCCCTGTCTGCAAGGCCTGTGCCTCACATCCTGGGGAATCCAATGATCCCCGATTATTTTATTTACTTTTTACAGTGCTGAGGGTGGAACGCAGAGGGGCTGCATTGCTAGGCAAGTGCTCTACCACCCAAGCCATATCCACAGCCTCTGCATTTTGTTTCAGTGAGTCCTGTGAGGTTTTGGTCACCAGGACAACTTTGAGGTTGCAGGGAAGTTCCTATCAGAGCTCGGAGTGTGGGTGTCACATGCTTGCTTGCCTGGACGCAGTTTCAGAGCCAGGACTCCAAGCCCCCTGGGCTCTTTTCATCAAGGTGAAAAACTGGGAAGCTCAGAAAATCCAGACTGGAATGAGTCTGCTCTCTGCAGAGCCAGCAAGCCGTCCCCATGAGATCCTTCTCCTGTCCTCCCTCACCCTGCTCCCTCCTCACCTGTTCCCCTCTCCCAGGGACCCCTTGACTCAAAACCCTGCCAGCCTTCTGTCCTGTGTTTCTCTGCCTTCATTTCCCCTTTTCTGACATCAGCTAGGGGAATGGGGAGACATTTCCTCAACTTGAGGGAACAAAAGAGACGCTTCCTTTCCAGAGGCGCTCTCTCTCTCTCTCTCTCTCTCTCTCTCTCTCTCTCCTCTCATGGAAAATGTGATCTCCTCCAGCCAGCAGGAGCTGGTAGCTAATGTGTTCAAGATGAGGCCAGGGAAGGGCTGCAGACTGCAAGTGGGGCATCTGCTATGGGCCCAGGGCATCACGGCCAGGGTGGTACCCAGCGCGAGGGGAGAAGGGGGCACCTCCAGGTAAACTTGGGCTGGCCGCAGAGGCTTGTGGCTCACCTTGGCTCACACACCTGGCAAGGCCTGGATTCCTGGTGGCTGGGAAAACAAGACTCCTCTGCTTGCCACTGCGTCCCTCACTCTCCCTGCTCCATGAAACCCTCATCAGAGATAGGCTCCTTTCTCTCTCTCTCTCTCTGTGTGTGTGTGTGTCTAACTGACTGTCTGTCTGTCTGTCTCTTGGTTAATTTTGTGTTGACCGGGCCACAGGGTACCTGGATATCTGGTCGACCATTATCTGGGTGTTTCTGTGAGGGTGTTTTAAATCTGTAGACTGAACAGAACTGATTGCCCTCTGTACTGTGGGAGGGTCTTGTCCAATCAGCTGAAGGCCTGGATTGAATGGACTCTTCCTGCTGTCCTGTCTTTGGATGGGACAGTAGATATTTCCTTCCTTCAGATTTGAACAGAAAGGGTGCTTCCTGGATCTTGACCTTGCCAGCCTCTGCTCTAGAATTCTACCTTGCTCTCCTGGTTTCCAACTTGCCCACTCGCCCTGCTGGTCTCAGAACTTGCTAGCCTCCATCATCACCAGAGCCAATTCCTTACGCTAAATCTGTTTTTGTGCACACACAGTTTCCACAGCCAGTCTGACTAGGAAATGCGCCTCGCTTCCTGTGGTCGCTGGTCACGCCTCATTCAGAGATCTACGGAATTACCACGAACGTACCCAGGGCTGGCACTACAGCAACGGTGACATTGTCCCTGCCTTCAGGAGCCTCTAGTTTGAAAAAGGGGACAGGCAGGCCAGCAGGTAGCAAGCACAGAGTGGCCGTCAAAGTGGTGACCAGACCAGCATGGACTGGGGAGTGGGAGATGGGCCCAGCACCTCCAGGGATGAC